CAGAATCAAGAATTATAATCGGAGGCATTTTTTAAGACAGTGACGCATCGCGTCAGTGATCACATGCGTGAAATGCAAGTCCTCAGTGTTTTAATGAATAGTCGACAATTGTTGTCGTTCACAAAAAAGACAAGGATATCAAACAAGCGCGTTCTAACATGGGGACAGGATGCCTACGCGTGAACACGTGACTTTAAACGAACAGCATATGAGTATTCGACAACACGTAGGTTTAAGTATATCATGTTGTCAAGATATAACCACAGTCACAATCACAAATCAATCATGCATTACAGGAAACAAAATTTTCATCATCATGAAAAATAGGTCAATTTGTTGATTTTAAGACCTTCATCTGCTCCCAATCGGGAGGGTATATGCAAATGTTGAATGCTCGCCAAATCATCATCCGTACCCAGTTCCTAATCCGCAGGTTAACTTTTGGGATTACCACAAATATATCTGGTCCTTTTTTAGGCCAGCCCCAAACGCCGATGTTGAAATCGTAGCTGTTCTCAAGAACAGACTCCACAAAATGCAATATTAACACAATCCAGAAACATCAACCCTTACACACATAGTGTTGGTCGACATTTATTTGGAGTACTTGTTTCGGAAGTACTTGGCGGCGTTAACCATGTTGGTAAGCGCCTCCTTAGTCTCCTTCCATTGACGGGTCTTAAGACCACAATCAGGGTCGATCCAGAGCTGCTCAGGCTTGAGGAACTGAAGCATCTCCTCGATGCGGTCCTTGATCTCCTGCTCGCTGGGGACACGAGGAGAGTGGATGTCGTAGACACCAGGTCCGATGTGGCGGGGGTACTCAGAGTCGACAAAGACACGGAGGAGCTTGGCATCAGACTTGCTGTTCTCGATGGAGAGGACATCGGCATCAAGAGCAGCAATGGCGTGGAAGAAGTCCTGGAACTCAGAGTAACAGAAGTGAGAGTGTATCTGAGTGGCATCCTCGACACCAGCGGTGGACAGGCGGAAAGCCTGGACAGCCCACTTGAGGTAGGCGTCACGCTCCTCACCGGAGCGGAGGGGAAGACCCTCACGGAGAGCGGGTTCATCGACCTGGATGACGTCGATGCCGGCCTTCTCAAGGTCGACGACCTCGTCACGGAGGGCAAGAGCAAGCTGCTCAGCCTGGACGGACTGGTGGACATCGTCACGGGGGAAAGACCATCGAAGGCAAGTGACGGGACCAGTAAGCATACCCTTCATGGGCTTCTTGGAGACTGAGACGGCGTACTTGGACTCCTTGACAGTCATGGGGTTGGGTCGGGAGATGTCACCGACAATGATGGGAGGTCGGACGCATCGGGAACCGTAAGACTGAACCCAGGCGTGTGTGGTGAAAGCGTAACCCTGGAATCGCTCACCGAAGAACTGAACCATGTCGTTACGCTCAGGCTCGCCGTGGACAAGGACATCGAGATCAAGCTCCTCTTGGATCTTGACGTTCTCCTCAATCTCCTTCTCGATGAAGCGGTCGTACTCCTCAACAGTGATCTCACCCTTGGTGAACTTGTTTCGCTGAACTCGGATCTCCTTGGTCTGGGGGAAAGATCCAATGGTGGTGGTAGGGAAGAGGGGAAGGTTCAGCTTCTTCTGCTGCTGGCTGATACGGGTAGTGAACTCGCTCTTGCGCTCGTAGTCCTTCTGGGTAACCTTGGACTGACGCTCCTTGACCTGGGGGTCGTTGGTGCGGGGAGACTCAGCACGAGCCTTGATAGACTTGGCGTTAGCCTCAAGCTGCTCACGGACGGAGGCAGGGCCCTCGGTGACGGCCTTGGCAATGAGAGCAATCTCAGAAGCCTTCTCAGTAGCGAAAGAGAACCAGTCGGCAATCTCAGCGTCCAGCTTCTTCTCGCTGGCAAGAGTGTGAGGGGTGTGGAGGAGAGAGCTGGAGGTGGCAGCAATGACACGGTCCTTGCCGAGCTTCTGGACAGCGGTCTCGACAATCTCGATGGCACGCTTCAGGTTGGTCTTCCAGATGTTACGTCCGTCGACGACACCGGCAGAGAGGATGGTGTTGGAGCCAATGGCACCGAGGACCTTGTCAAGCTGCTCGGGGTTTCGGACAAGGTCGATGTGAAGACCGTAGACGTCCTTGGGGAGGAGGTCAAGGTTGTGGACGATGTCACCGAAGTAGGTGGTGAAGACAACCTTGGGGATCTTGTCACCAAGGCTGGCAAACTTCTCATAGGCGGGCTTGAAAGCATCCTTGGTCTTCTGGGGAAGATCAAAGACAAGGACAGGCTCGTCAATCTGGACAGTCTCGGCACCAGCCTCCTTCAGCTGAGTGAGGAGCTGCTCGTAGACGGGCAGAAGCTTCTCGAGAAGGTCGATAGGCTCAACCTTCTGATCACGGTCGGCCTTGCCGAGGTGGAGGAAAGAAACAGGACCAACAAGGACGGGGCGGGTGTTGATGCCAGCCTCCTTGGCCTCCTTGAAGTCAGCAACAGCCTTGGGGCTGTCAGTGAGCTTGAAGGTCTGGCCGTCCTGGAGGGTGGGCTTGACGTAGTGGTAGTTAGAGTCGAACCACTTGACCATCTCCAGAGAGGGGACATCGACACCCTCCTTCTGGTGACCACGGCCCATGGCGAAGTACTGGTCAATGGGGTCAAGGCCATCCTTGGTGTATCGCTCGGGAACGGCCTAGAGGAAGTGAGTCAGTAAGGGTTGGTATATGACTCGGGATGGAGGGGATACGTACACCAAAGTCCTGGATCTGGTGGAGGACGTGATCGTAGAGAGCGAAGTCGTTGCTGGGGATGATGTCGACGCCGGCATCTTGCTGGATCTTCCAGTGAGCAAGGCGGAGACGCTTGGCCTCAGCGAGGAGGTCAGATTGGGAGATCTTTCCACCCCAGTCTAAAGTTTTTGTTAGTCTATGATGACACGAGTCAGTGACCTCGTTTGGTCGACTTACAAGCTTCGGTGGCCTTCTTCAGGTCACGGTTAACGCCCATACGGGGAAAACCGAGAATAGCGGATTGAACCATTTTTGCGGTTGTTGCAACTGCGTTGTCTGGTTTGTGATGGGGAAGACTGTTGTTACAAGGTTAGTCGTTGGTTTTTTTTTTTTGAGGAGAGAGAGCACGGTGCAGGCGGGGTGAAGGCGGGGTGAGGGGCAGACCAGTCGAGCAGGGCTGAACTGGAGAGAAGGAGAGAAGGGATGAGGTCGACGTACAAATTCAAAAGCCCTTGTCTGTTCCAAATTGGATCAATCGATAGATCCTTTTCGAGATAGAACAATGAGCAAAAGTCGGATGAAGAAGAAAGAAGGAGGAAAAGGAAGAAGGAAAATGTTGGGAGTTGGAAGGTAGATGAATGTTTTTGAGCTGTCCTGACGCCTGCAGGAGGAAGATAGAAGTGACCAACCACAGGTCGAAGGCGGGGGAGGGGTCGAAAAAGTGGCCAGGATAGCTACGCCGCTCTTTTGATTGGCGTCGTAGTAGCTTTGGCTATCCCACCGACAAGAGCTTCATCCTACTCAGAAACTCTAACAACATCTCGCTCGAGTCTCACGTATTCGTACTAAGCGTCTGCGGTGGTTGGTTAAACGGGCGAGGCGGGTGCCGGAGTGGATTTTCAGGGGCCTAAGGGACGGCTCACGGGCTGTCGGTGTGCGCTAATGGAGGGGCATCTTGCAGCAGCTCTACGGCTTGCTACAGGGGTCGGTACTCTTTTTTCCACCGTTCTCGCAGCCTAGTTCGCCTCAATTCATCGTTGCCCGGCTTCCGAATTGCGTGCTCGAGTGTCAATCACCTCATCAACCAATTCCCTCTCGTCTTGATTGACTTTCTGGAGCTACTATGGAGTAGAGTAGACTAAGGAGTAACTGAGGCCAGTTTTTACCTCGCCGCAGATCGGCCTCTGTTGTTCTTTTGCGGTCTACGCCACTCGTTGCAAAGGATCGACCATAAACTAAACCCCACCAAGGGTCGTGTCTCTTTTTTTTTCGTCTCTGCTTTTCTTATCAGTTTTGCTTTATGGCTTGTGACGGCATATGGTACATACAATCCTCTCGACCGAGCACGTGTTCTAGTATTGTATGATCTTTTAATGACGTGCGATATGACCACGTTTGTACCGGAGGATTTCGGAGTCATTGGCTCCGGACTACGGACCTACGCTAAGCGGGCCAAGTAAGAAAGGTCCTTGTCATAGGTAGGCACAGTCAGACTCTGCTTCCATTTGAGATGCGTGATCTTTCTGACATGTTGAATTGATTCATTATCGTCTTGTTCCCACATGGTCTTTTATGTAAAGAGATTGTACGCTGAGTTCTGATTTCTGTTGACTTATACCTCCTTGAGATCCGAGGCGAATAAAGAAGCCTAGTTGATATACGGAAAATTAGGGGGTGCCTACCCTATGATGCAGGAATTTACGAATTCCTTCATAACGTATGGTTACCTGAGCAAACCCTATTTGGCACCTGCCTCAGTGAGGAAGATATCATTATTGTTCTCTGTTCATAGCACTTCCTAACGTCGACTCCAGGCAGTTGCCTAAGCGGGAGGAGACAGCTCAAAAAGCGCCATTTAGGAAGGCAAGAGCAAAGAAGGGAGTCACGATGGCCTCAGTTGCTGTAAACTTCTCAAGTTGGTACCTGCCTTAGTAGGAGGTATCTTTGGAACAGCGACCCTCACGTCAACAAAACTGGATTCATTTTGGAACTGACATTGACGATTTCATTTTGGACGCACCAACTTCCGTGACAACCTGCTTTTGGTGCCTTTGCTACATTTTGGTCACCTCTTTTGGAGATTACTCTGTATCCTTCGTCTTTCTTACAGATGCCCTCCTTCAATCTTCTGAATATCTTCTGCTGTCGCAAATCGCGATGGGATGGCTCTGGCAGCCCAGAACCAGCTACGCAAGATAAAACAGCCCTTCATCCTGTACTAGCACTCGATCCACCACTTGAGGAACAGCAGGAACAGCATGAAACAAAGCGCCAGAACACTGCCATGGGGTTGTCTAATATGGCCTGGGCAGTACCAGAGTACCGGAGTTCTTTCGAAAGCGACTCCATCACAAGTCAACACATTGACTCCGACTCTGATTCCTTAAATTCAGATCTAGATCTCCCACGCTCGACAAAGCCAGGCACTGCTTTTGGTGCTGTACGCAACAGATATATCCGGAGCATATCACACAATACCAGTAGTGACCATCCGTCACGCGTCTCTGTTAGTAACAGTGAAGAAGAAGTCGCAAGAAGAGCCGAGTTAAGGTGGATCATGCGCCTAAGAATCCAAGATCAGCTTGAGTCAGACGAGGCTGAAGATCAATCAGAAAACAAACCGACGGTCAGCATTTACCGTGTAGCTTCCTCTGCTAATAGTGCCCTGCCAATTTCTAGACCTCGAGATGCTATTGAGTTTGGCGTTAACAATTCTTCCTCCAGTAATGGACAACCCGCTCGACTTAATCGAGAGAGGGGCAACCACGGCACCCCTCAAGATTTTGGAGGTTCCCACGGGTGTGCCACTGCACCCGAGAGAGATCCTTCAGAGGAACCTGACATGGCTGGTAGGAATAATGATTCAAGTGAGAATGCTGTTATTCAAAGGCCCTTACCCATACATCCCTCAGCGCATATCTCATTGACCGACGTTGAACTCTCTCCTTCCCAGAAATCCTTTCTACTCTCCAATGGCTCAGGGCGTCTTGATCGAATACTGGGACCAGAAAGCAGCTTCAACAATCGCCAAGCTTCTTCTGGAGATGGCCAGTCTGCGCTTGGTGTATGGCTCATAGCCCAGGGCCTCCGCTCACGAGATAACTCAACCCTTTCTTTTGACGAAGAAGAAGAGAAGGAGGAGGCGCAAACCAGGAAATTGAATAAAAAAGCTACAGACAACACTCCTGCCGTGAGTAGGGAAAAGAACTCGCTAGTACATGGGACTCACGCGATGTCTGAGAAAGGGGATTGCCATGAACAAGGATCAACTTTTACCAGCTCACCTAAAAAACTAGATCCTCAGTGCCTGCTTGAACCCGGCACTCTGAAAGATTTTTGCGATAACTCGGCCTTTTCTGGAGAGTTGCCATGGGGCTCGACTGTGAGAGCACTCCTAAATTCGTTTACAGATGACACTTCTTCAAGTGATCCATCAAAGTCTCCATCGAGTCCAGTACGGCCCCCGAATAATCTCTACAAACTGGATCTAAAAGAACTTGAAAGTATGGAGTTATCCCCTTTCAGATGCAAGTATATCCTGTCCATTGGAAAAAATCAGGAGGCTAATGGAGAAGACAGGGCGAAGCCGTGATTCCCCCCAAGACCAAAGCAACCTTGACAACCAAAACTGCAGGCCTCCACATCATTTGAAGTCTCATTCTCAGGCATTTATTGGCAATGTCCAGTATGAAGCAGAAACAATGCACGGTGCTGCTTCTGTGGCTCAGTCAGACTCTGCTAGCTTTGTTCAGCGTGAAGCTGGGCTAAAAACAATCAAAAGGCGTTTCAGCGAGGCATTGGATCAAAAGAGCACCGAGAAAACAGTGTCCACGTGTTTCCATGAGGATTTCTCCCACTTCGACACTCGATCACCCGCCAAGAAACCGCCCACAAACAATACTTGCCTAGCAATTCCAGTTAGTCATTTTAGAGCCAAGTCTGAAGGCGCCCTGTACCAGCATGGTGAAGACCATCAGGATGTCCCTCGAGCACAAATGTCTCCTTTGGTACCCGCAGAAAAGACGAAAGTTCACGAAAAGGAAGCAAGTGACAGATCAAAGAGACGCTCGAACATGAGCATTCGTCCTTACATGAGCCGACTACCTACAGAAGAGTATAGAAAGCAGAATTTGGAACGTCAAGAGAGCGCAACGGATCTATGGCAGCTCGCCATTAGGCTTGAAGCTGAAAGCAGACATAGTAGCAGCTTTTTGAACACGCCAAATCATGATCAAAGAAGCCTTTCATCCAACAGATCACTAAAGAGAACAGGCGCCGCTCGAAATAGCAACAATAGCATTTCAGACGTGAGACGAGAAATCTCACAACTGACACCTTCCACAAATGAACAATCTTCTCCAAATAACTCGAAGTGGCTTATCGAACGTTGGGTTTCCCAAATGCGACCAAGACCAGCTCATCCGACAGAGTCAGTTGCAAGTGTAGGACTGGTTGATCCCCCAAGATCCTGGTCCAAATTCCCCTCCTTCAATAGGGGGGAAAGAAACAGGAACATAACATCTAGAGACAAGGTACATCCTCGGGACTTCGCTGTCAAGCATGTCACTTCGGAAGGTCAGATTCGGTGGGCCACAGATACCGGTTCTGGGAGAGATGGCCAGCGTGCTCATAAGCTACCTCGCTCACTGTCTACAAGATTCGGTGGATTGGTCAAATCCAAGATGAGTCGAATGATGCCGCCGAAAGGTTTGCGACACTGGGTGAGTCAAGCCTTTATCGCGAGGTCTATGACCACCAGCCCACCTCATATGGAATATCCCGAAATGGGCATCCGGCCCTCCGACTCAGGGTACACTGAAATCCAGGCGATGGGTAGAGAAATCAATTATATGAAGGGTCGGGCACATCTGCAGACTCTCGAAAAAGACCTTTCAAAGCCCCATTCTTCCAGAAGCTTAGGGGATAGAGTAGTTGCACTTATGCATGAGACTATCGGGCAGAGACATCCAAAACATGATGACCCTCTTCAGTCACCCGACATTCCCATGATACCAGTTACGCCTAGTTTATTCAGACAAAGTATTGCTGCTACTGCGACAGATGTTTTCGTCACGCCCAAGAGCCGACTTTCGAACGATGACGAGAGTGACGAAGAAAAGGGCGAGACAGGACGAGATTCAACCAAGTGAGAAAACAGGAGACCTGCTCGATGATCTTTGAGAATGGTAGGCATCTTCAACCCCAGTATACGCAGCATCCGCCACGAAACTTGGCGATGGAACTCATTCTTTATCTGAAAACATGAATACAAGCCGTCTTGGTGCGACTCAAGATGAGTAGATGTTATAGCAACAAATACTGGAGACGATGTTGACTTTTATGACCAACACCCTGACAATTACTCGGGGAAAGGATCGGACATGACAAAAGTAACGTATTTGCAAGCAGAACAATTGGGGATTTTATTCATTCTGAGCTTTGATTAGTCTTTCTCAAGTAGTCCAGCTTTACGTATGCCGTCTTACTAGATAATAAAACGATAATTATAGTATCTCCGTTACTCCAGTTTATACTGCTTCATCCTCCTTGCCCTTTTCTGCATATCTTAGATCATAACGTTCCTTTCTAGCTTTTGCTTCTTCTTCCTTGCGTTGCATCTCCACTTTCCTCTCACGAAGTGCAATACAGAACTTGGAGCGAGCTCGAATCCTCGGACCCTTCCAAATAAAAACGAAGGGAATAAAACACATGAGTGCACTGAGACCTCCGAGAAGAGAACATGCACCATTGATATTCAACTGGCGAAACATCGGTTTTGTGGCAAGTGGCAATACAACAGCAAAAAGGGATCTTGTCGTTGAGGATGCGGCATTCGCAGAGGCAGCAAAAATCTCATATGCATCAGTAAGGTAGTTCAGCATAGCCATGAAGATCAATAAGAAACCCATTCCGAAAAGGATGCCAGCTAGCATAGGTACTGCAAAGGGTATGTCATCACGAGCAGACCAGCCGAGCCAGAAAAGAGAAACAACAAAGAGCGGACCGCCGAGACAAGCCAGAGGAAGACGGCGGTATTCTTCGCGGCGAACCCAGGAGGCGTTTCGTTCTGTCGCACGGGTAAGAACATTATCCCAAGTCCAAAAGATGGGGAGAGACAGAGCTGCACCGCCAAAAATAGGAAGGTAGGCAAGACCTGTAACACCGGGTGAGAGACCGTAGACGTCCTGGAAAATTATGGGGAATGCTTGGAAGGACATATAGAATATCGCATAGACGAGAGCGAGATAAGTGCAGGTTGTTGTCACGATAGGCTCAAAGACGAGCATGCGGAGGGGGCGAGTCAGGACCACGGTGAGAAGCTGTCTGAGATCTGTCGTCTCGAGATCTCGCGGGGCAATAGCACGAGACGACGGATCTTGTATGCGGAGTTTTTGAGCGCGGCGCGACAGGAGGATTGGGCCATATGTCTCAGGGAGAAATACGATCAGGACGACGGTTACACAAGCGATCATGAGAGCAATCCAGAAGACCCAGCGCCAGCCAATGTTGGGACCAGCGAAACCGGAGAGGATTGGGGATAAAATGGGACCTCCGGTGGTACACTGCAGCCTTGGTCAGCTTATATCTTGCGCATCTGGGCTTGGAGGGGTGATGGATGCATAACTCACCACCATGAAAATAGCAAACGCTCTTCCTCTCGTGCGAGGGTCATCATAAATATCTGCCAAGATACCAGCGACAATGGCAATGGGTGAACTCGCAAAGGCACCGCAGAAGAATCGAAATATCAACAACGCAGCCCATGTTGGAGCGACAGCGCAAGCCATAGTAAAGATGGTAAAGAGACAAAAAGTGACGAAGCTTAGGTTTCGACGACCATAATGTTCGCTGAGGGGACCCCAGACGATGGGACCTAACACGTAGCCTATAAGGTATACAGAGATGGGAAGAACACTTTGTTCTTCTGATGTGATGCCAAAGTCTTGGATTATATCTGGTATTGCCATACTGGGAAGGGCCGAGCCCATGGTAGAGTTGATGACCAGCATTGAGGTACACAAAACAACCAGTTTCTTCTTTGTCTAAGCCGTACACCCATCGTTAGCAAAGTTATTGAAACGAAAGATAGGAGACAATGTCTACAATAACCATACATTTGACCAGTGGACTGGGTTTTCTGGATCGTCAACTTCCCAGCTGATGAGTGTCTCGTCGGTACGACTTCGTGTCCGCGAGCGGATGTTGTGAAGGGCGCCAAGACCTCGATCTGCCGTTTCTTCCTCATAGCGAGATTGAGCATCTATTTCGTCGAGATGATGTATTTGATCTGAAAAAGAAGTGCTTCTTCGTTGACGTCCTCCTATTGATATGTAAGCTTGGATTCAGGTCAGACAGAACATGGTATTCATTGTTCGGCAACAAAGCCTTGGCAATGACTTACGGCATGGGGATGGTTCCCGCATAGTCTCACTTGATTCACTTGCAGGCATTATGTCTCGCCTTTGGGAATTACTGAAGCTATCCGCACGCGGCATGTTGGCAATTAACAAGAGACAGAAGCAGTGGTAGCTTCGCGCAAAGAATGTTGAAAGAAGGGGAAAAGGCTACGACTAAGTATGCAAAGCGAATTCCTATTGTTTGCACCTGCAGATACGTTCCCATGACATAACAAACAGCTTTCTCAAAATGGTCAATTACGGGGGGTTCAGATAGTCATTGGTCATGTCCTAGGTCCGGAGCCGGGCCTCAAATATGGGGTAGTCCTGGGTAGAGGTGGTATCCACGGGTCCGATGCTGGAGGCGAGTGTGGGAGCTATCTGCGGGAGCATCTTCCGCTGGTGAGGGGATGGTGCCGGGTTGCAGTTATCCTCTCCGGAATGGGATGAGCTTCAAGGATCGCAAGAGCTCGATTGCCGATAGCTTGCCATGTTAGGTCTATTAGCTTGAAGCAAAGCCGAAAGAACGAATCGTTGACAGCTTTGCTCTATCAACAAAAGTTGGGGGTTATCGGAACCGTTCCCTGGTGGCTGATGAACCGGGAATAGTAACCGGATACAACACCGTGAGCCTTTCAGTTGATATTCAAGGGTGCTAACACAAGCACACTCGGTTTCCCACACCGACTGCAAGCCCCCCAAAACGGTGCATTACAAATAGGGTTTCCCAAGCGTACTGATGTGCAGAGAAATTGCTGTATTATGGATAAGAATTCTCCCGGGAGTGCTGACTTGACGTCGATGATTTTGGGGGGGTATCAGGTTTCGATTTGTTCTTTTTGCTCAAGTCTCTAGGTTGATCTGCTTTCCGAATCTGGCATATAAATCGACCTTGAGCTTTGTCATCTCCTCACGGATAGACGACAGCTTTTCCTCCAACGATACTGACTCTTCCTCAAGCGTTTCCGTTGCTTTCTCAAGCATCTCCTGGGCCTGCTCTACTGAAACGTGGAAAAAGGCATCGCCAATCTTGTACCTGGGTCTAGGTTAGTTTCCCACGTATTTAAGTTGAAGGGTTCGTTCAAGTTCATACTGGATCTTCTCGTCCTCGTCGGCAAGTTCGAGTTCTGTGGATAAGTCGTCAAGCTCTTCCTTCTCCTTCTATACGGCGTATTGAATCAGTATTTGTTCAACCAGTTCTGTATCGATTTCGGTGGTGAATATCGTAAACGCACGTTCTTAGCGCTAAGTTCTTCGCCCAAAACAAGCTCTCGCTGGTGTAGACGGCTGAATCGGTTGATCTTGTCCTGGTCCTCACGTCGAACCTCGACCTCGTCGGCTGCCTCCTCATCCGCCTTTGAGAGCTAGATTGATGTTAGTTAGCTGAAGATAAAAGTATAGGGAGATTTTACTTACCATACGACGCTGTACTAATGAAGCCATGGCTGATGAATGTAGATGATATCGTTGTACAGATCCCAAGCTTGAGCCTTTCGCACAACTCAATGCCAAATGCAAAGGTGGGTTACAGTGCGGGGACGCCACCGTTAAGAAAGCACTGTACGCCCCTCATTTTTACTGAGGTGTCTCTCCTGGGCGGGATGGCAGGGGCCATTTCAAGGGTGTGAAGCTTCGAGGTACGTACACTATTTCGGGGACAGCCGATTGGCTAACGGCCCCAGCTCAAGTCTTGGTGAGGTCAGAGACGGTATCGATTACGGAACGCGCATTGTAAACAACATTATAGAGACAAAACAACAAGAAACATCTCATCAACCATGGCACTCGGAAAGAAGCCTTATCCCAAGGCGACAGTAAAGAAGATTATCAAGGCTCATTCGAACCACAATATCAAGAAGAATGCTGATGTTACTGTGCGTCCGGCTCGTCTCATGATCGCGACAGTTGCTAATGTTTACTTGCTTTAGATCTTCCTTGACTACATCTTGTTCATGGAAACGTATGGCATCAACAAGCGTTTCCGGATATAGTTTCATAAGCTAATCGAATTATTAGTCTTGTTAAAGAAGCGGCGATCCACTCCAAGCAGTCTGGAGAGCGAGGGCTATCTGCGCGGAGTGTCAAGAAGGTGACGAGGGTATGTTGGTTGATTCATCACCCCTTTTGCATCTGCTAATTTGTATCGTCTAGGATACATTGACCAAGTTCAAGGGTTAAACCAATTCATAAAACGTGACGAACAATAAGTGCAGCACTCGTCGAGCCACGAACAATGTTGCGATAACCAAGAGCCGCGCCGCGATCGAGAAATAACAGTAACACACAACCAATAATTTGGCATAGCTGTCTTGCTGTATAAATCAATAGCTCCGCATAAAAAACGAAAGCGAACCTGTTGAGATCGTTATTGCTCCAGACGCATGCAAAAGGGGGCCATTTAGAAGAAAGGAAGCTCAGCACTTGGGCACGAGACCACTTCACCTCACCTCACCTCACCTCAGCTGAATGCGCCTGTTGAGTGGGGCATTCGCCATGACGATGGAGGTCATCCAGAATGGCCTCACTTGTTAAGAGGCTGTATCAAGAAGATAGAAATACATAAATAGTCAATCCATGAGCTTGGATGAAATGCATTATTCCCTTGTCTCAATAATACCTGTGACCATAACTATTGTAGAGCTATTGGCACTCAGCGCATAGATTCTTACCGGTTCTAGAAACATTGACAGTCCATGTCAATGCAGGGGGGTTGCCTGGGCACTTGAGCCCGATTAGTGGCTCTGGCACTGGTCGGCACTGACACCGACAGCTGGAGCCAGCTTCGTTTCTATGTACCACCAACTTGGCCTTACTCCATCTCTCCTCAAGCAAACTTTCGTCTCCTCTTCTCTCTCTGCCCAACTCATCCTTTCCCAAACTCAACTTTACTTCACCCGTAACCTGAACCAATCTCTACCTTTTAGCTTTCCTCATCACTTAACTCTTCAACGACCTTTCCCTCCCAAGCCTGTCGCACGTCATATCCGACAGTGCCTCCACGCCTCGCGCAAACTCTCTACCACCAAAAACACACAACTCTACCGAGATGGCTGCTCAAGCTGTTCAGCCTCAATCCAAGTCGGCCAAGAAGAAGGCCGCCAAGGCTCTTGAGCGAACCGAATCTCCCGCCCCTAGTATCACCTCCGCTTCTGCCACTGCCGATAAGAACAGCGATGACAGCTTTGAGAGCCCTTACATTAAGGAGATTCAAAAGTAAGTTTTGAAGCGGCATGGCAAGAAATTTTGTTTGACCTTGAGTGTTAACGGTCGCTAAAGGAACATCCGAAACGTAAACAAGAAGATCGTACGTACTTTTCTCCCCGCTATAGTGCCTGGGTGATGCTAACAAAACGGCCAGACCAACGCTTCCAAGACCGATTCTCTCCTAGCGGAGAATCCCGGCAAGTCGCTCGACGAGCTCATCGAGTCCAAGATCATCAACGCCGATCAGAAAGCCCAGATTCTCAAGAAGCCTGCGCTCCAGCAGCAGCTAGCGCAATTCGAGGAGCAACTCACCCAATACCAGAAGGTCGACGAGCAGTACAAGGCACGTGCCGCCGGTGACAAGGCAGAATGGGAGAAGAAACTCGAGCAGGCCAAGGCCGATGCAAAGGCCGAGGCTAAGGCCGAGGCTACCAAGGACCTTCATGACAACCTGCTGGTCCTGTCACAATTCCTGCGACTTGCTGCCTACCGTCGCGAGGAAGCTCAAGACCCCGAGTCAGATGAGAGCCAGGCCATCGAGGGAGTCCTCCTTGCTATCTACTCTGGCGATGAGAGCGCTGTCCAGTCTATGCTGAAGCTCGTCAACGGATCCGACGATCAAATTGTCAGCGTGCCCGGCGAGCAGCTGCAAACCCCTTGTAAGTGATTCAGCCTCGGGCTCTCCGATCTATGCTAACAGGGTACAGTCTCCAAGGTTAAGGCCCTTGCCCAGCAATACAAGACCCCGTACGATGATGCTCAGCCCATTGAGGAGAGTGCCGAACAGCCTAAGGATGTTGTTACGGATCCTACTATTGCGCATGCTGCCGCTACCGAGATCGAGGCTGGTGATATTGTCCTTCCTACCGCCACTGCTGAGCCTTCTTCCAATGGCTTGGCCAACGCCAGTGTCGCTGATGACGCTGCCAATGCTGTCGCCGAGAGTCACTGGGATTCCACTAACAATGAGATGTCCACTTCCCAGGAGTGGGTTGACGTGAAGCCTGCCGAGGCTGTGGAGGAGGCTGCTGCTCCTGCTCCTACTCGTGTTGCCAACGCCAACTCCTGGGCCGACGACCACCCAGAGGTAAGTTGATTCCATCATCTATATTCCATGCTAGAGAAGCTAACCAGGCAAATCAGACCACCGCCCCCGCTGATCCCAATGATGGGTTCCACCAGGTACAGCGAAACCGACCCCGCAACGAGGGTGGTAACCACCGAGGCCGTGGACGTGGTGAGCACCGAGGTCGAGGCGGCTTCCGCGGTGATGGTCGTGGACGTGGTCGCGGCCGCGGAGGTGCTAGCGGTGCTCCCCGAGGAGGCGCTCGACGCGCCGAGGAGTCTTAAGTGCTCCTAATCATGGCATGCGATAAACGCACAGCCTACGAATCTCTTTGGATCTCCTAAGGGCAACTGTACATCATGAAATGACGGCGTTTACAAGTCAAGACTTCTACGGCAAAAAGCTAGGGGACGGTGGACTTAAGGACTTTGCATTTTGGGGTTTTGATGATTTTGGGACTCGGATATACATCTGGCCAAGGTGTCGGTTGGAGTTCGTAATACCTTTGTAACAACGAAAGCCTTTCGGGAATGATACCTGGGGCAGTAGGTAACAATGTGAATTAATATCCGCCAATTTGTGCCGTGATGCGTCTGTCACATGCCATGTTTTGATTGATGAATAGTGAACGCATGCCATTGAGAGTTAGTAAAAGTACATACCAACAAGATATGCTAACCAGGATTATTGGCAGACCCATTGCTATGTTTCTGTCTCAATTCATAGCTCTTGGTGTGAAGCCATATCAGATAAGGCTGAAGGAAGACAAACTCTATCCTGCTTCAAAGTGCCGCCATAGTGTTGACAAGGGTCTTGGAGAATGTGGGGAGCTTATTGTGTCTTCTGGTTGGCTATGTCTAATAGGCCAGTCTGTTCAGAGTCATGAACAAAAACAGAGGCCACGTGTGTTGGGAAATATAAATGTGTCTACTTCATTAGAGAATTTTTTCTTGTAGATCAAAGAGTACTCATCATACGTTGCTCTACCGCACAATCTGAGGTTTCTACTGTCTGATGTTCGAGGATAAGACCAGATCGCAGCTCCATGCAGCACATGTCGTGCTTGTACATCATGAAATTACACAAAATAGAGTCATGAGTTGTGGTCAGATTAGGAAACATCATGAAGTTCTGAGACTGAATAGGCCACTTGTCAATTTTGATTCGTTAGTTGGAGAATGTCTGGGGCCTCGATGTGTCAAGCGAAGGCTGGATACTGAATACTGAGGCGAGGCTGAGACCTGATGTCCCACCTAAAGTTTATCGCACCAATGAATATTACTTGTACTACTGACTTTATATCAGCCTTGCATAAGAAACTAACGTCACCGCCGCTATTGTACCTATTGTTAGCTGTCCTCTTCATTTTAGTGGCTAGAATCTACCACTGTCTTCAATAGCCATCGTGGCTTCTTGGTCCCGATGGGAGAGATCCACATTCTGGCCACATCAACCTCTCTTCTTCAACGTATACATTCAAAAGGAAGCGACTCTCTGGGCTTTTTTCCCTTCCGCCCATAGACGTCATTGTCTTTTTGTTCTCTTTCTCAAGAGGCAACGTTCCTCATTGATATAAGAAAAGACACCGCCTTTCGAATTGGTGTGCGCAACTGAGCGCACCCCCACCAAACCACCATCATGGCATCTCCAGTCTCGCCGCTCATGACGCTCTTGGCGACGATTTTCCTCTTCGCCACCAATGTTTTCGCCATTTCCGCTGTTTTGGGTGTCGACCTTGGTACCGAGTATATTAAGGCCACTCTCGTCAAGCCTGGTATTCCCCTCGAGATTGTCTTGACCAAGGACTCCCGACGAAAAGAAACCTCCGCCGTCTGCTTCAAGCCTTCCAGAAATGGACCTCAAAAGGGTGAATACCCCGAGAGGGCCTACGGAGCCGACGCCATGGCTCTCGCCGCTCGCTTCCCCAGCGATGTCTATCCCAACCTCAAAACCATCCTCGGCCTGTCCACTGAAGACTCCGTGGTGAAGGAGTACGCCGCCCGACACCCCGCGCTGCAATTGCAGTCCCACCCTACTCGAAACACAGCCGCATTCAAGAGCAAGTCTTTCACTGAGGAGCAGGAGGCATGGATGGTTGAGGAGCTGCTTGCTATGGAGCTGCAGAGCATTCAGAAAAACGCTGAAGTGGCTGCTGGCGATGGATCCATCATCCGCTCCATTGTTCTTACCGTTCCTCCTTTTTACACTATCGACGAGAAGCGCGCTGTTCAAACAGCAGCTGAGCTTGCTGGTCTGAAGGTTCTGGGACTTCTTAGCGACGGTCTTGCCGTTGGTCTGAACTACGCTACTACTCGAGAGTTCCCCAACGTCAGTAACGGATCTAAGCCCGAGTACAACATCATCTTCGATATGGGCGCTGGGTCTACCAAGGCTACTGTCATGAAGTTCCAAGGCCGAGCAATCAAGGATATCGGCAAGTTCAACAAGACCGTCCAGGAGGTTCACGTTGTTGGCGCTGCCTGGGACCGCACTCTCGGCGGAGATGCTTTGAACTACCTCATTGTCGATGACATGGTCAAGAAGTTCGTCGAGTCCAAGGGCGCCCAGAAGGCTTCCGTTGCCGCCGAGAGCGTCAAGTCTCACGGTCGCGCCATCGCAAAGCTCAACAACCAAGTTGGCAAGATTCGCCATGTGTTGAGTGCCAACCAAAACACTGGCGCTAGCTTTGAGGGTCTGTACGAGGACATTGACTTCAGGTACAAGATCAGCCGCGCCGAGTTCGAGGAGATGGCTGCTGAGCATGCTGAGAGGATTACTGTTGTTATCAACGATGCTCTCAAGGCCGCTAACCTCGACATTATCGACATCGACTCAATTATCCTTCACGGTGGCGCTTCTCGCACTCCCTTCGTCCAGAAGGTTTTGGAGAAGCTCTCTGGTTCTACAGACAAAATTCGATCCAACGTCAACTCTGATGAGGCTGCTGTTTTTGGAGCTGGTTTCCGCGCCGCTGAGCTTAGCCCCAGCTTCCGCGTCAAGGAGATCCGAATTTCAGAGCCTGGCTTCTACTCATCTGGCGTGAAGTGGGAGACCAAGGGTAAGACTCACCACCAGCGTCTTTGGTCTGCCGTGTCTCAGGGAGCCGTTCCCAAGGAGCTTACATTTACCAATGGCGAGGATTTCACTGCTACATTCTACCAGCAAATTGGCTCTGATGAAAAGGATGTCAAGGTCCTTACTACAAAGAACTTGACTGCTACTATTGCTGCTATCAAGCAAAAGTACCCTTCGTGTGTTGAGTCTGAGATTCAGTTCAAGCTCGGTGTCAAACTCAGCAACGAGAATGGCGAGGTTCAGATTGCCAAGGCTGCTGTTGAGTGTGAGGCCGAGGTCAAAGAAGGGCTCGTTGATGGTGTCAAGAACCTCTTTGGCTTTGGAAAGAAGGACCAGAAGCCCTTGAAGGAGGGATCTGAGGGCTCTGAGGAGGAGATGAAGGACGATAAGTCTTCGTCTTCCACCACTTCTTCTGAATCTTCTACTGCTTCTGAGGCCGAGTCTGCTTCTTCTGGAAGCGCTGAGGAGGTCAAGCCTGAGGTCAAGAAGCGGGAGACTGTTGGCATCCCTGTTGAGATCACCGTTGAGGATCTCGGTATTCCAAGTCTTACCAAAGCAGAGATCTCTGCTTCTAAGGATCGTCTTAAGTCCTTTGCCGCTTCCGACAAGGCACGACTCCAGCGAGAGGAGGCTCTGAACCAACTTGAGGCGTTCACATACAAGATTAGGGATCTCCTTGAAGGTGATGCTTTCATCGAGGCCTCTAGTGAGAAGCAAAGGACCAAGCTGGCTGACCTCTCCAGCGAGACAAGTGACTGGCTCTACGCTGATGGCGCGGAGGCTACAAAGGATGTTCTCAAGTCCAAGCTCAAGGTCCTCAAGGATCTTGTCGCCCCTATCCAGAAGAGGGTTGAAGAGTCTGAGAAGCGCCCCGAGCTTACCACTTCGTTGAAGGAGTCTCTGGAACGAACTTCTGAATTCCTCAACAAGATCAAGGAGCAGATCGCTGAGCACGAAAGCTGGCACAAGTCCGCCTCTGAGTCGGCGTCCGCTTCTTCATCAACTGAATCTTCCAGCACAGATGCTGCTGGAGAGAAGGCTACTGGTGATTTTGACGGACTCGAAGACGAAGACAGTGCAGCTGCTACAGCCCGCAAGATGGAAGACGTCATCAAGGAGAAGGGGCCTATTCCTCCTCTGTACACTTTGGAAGATCTCAAGGAGGCTAGTGACCTTTACAAGTCCACTCAAGACTGGCTGAACGAGCTTGAGCCCAAGCAGGCTAAGCTGGCTGCCAACGTGGACCCTGTGCTTCTCATCAAGGACCTCAAGGCCAAGCGTGACAAGCTCGAGAAAGTCAGCATGGAAGTCGCCCTTAAGGGTGCCAGGAAGGTTGAGGAGAAGAACCGACAGGCTAAGAAGGCTGCTAAGGAAGCTAAGAAGAGCAAAGGAAAGAAGAGTAAGACAGCAAGCGGAGACGCATCACAGGAGCCTATTCAGCTCAACGCTGAGGACTTCATGAAGGATGGTGAGATCGACAAGGAGCAGCTCGAAAAGCTGATCAATAACATGAAGAAGGAGAACGAGAAGAAGGATGAGGGAGAGAAGAAGCAGACACATGACGAACTATAGATGATGGCGTGTTGACTTTTGGCTTTCCCATGATGAAAAAAGGGAGAGATATAGCTATATACGTATCTTGATTGAATGATACCGGGTCAAGCGATAGATGATAGAGCCTCTGATCTGTTGAGAGTAAAAATTATAAATAAGAACATATGGGTTCCTCGCTAACTGCCGATAAGTGTCGAATGTGAAATGCATATAACAAATCGGTCCTGTTCTGCGGTCCGTTTTATTTAAAATGCCAACCCAGCACACAGCGTAACGATCCATGCAATGTATTCGTCATCCCCTGTTTCTCAACTGTTCCACGTATGGAAGGTTTCTGGAGTCGTTATACTCTCGCCTGGTCTCTTGATGCTATCTCATGACCAACATCCCAAGTATTCATCTCATCGAATATATCTGTATCTCCACGCCTTCAGACAAACACCATGTGCTCGTGTCGCATCGTTGCTACCAAAGACATGGATGCCATGTTGACTTACGCATACCATGTTACGTCGCAAATGCAGGTTCCCATGTTTGTTCCCGCGTAGGCGAGAAACAACCCGATTACAAGGAGGTTGTGTAATGGTCGGCGCGATGTGAAGGGGCTTGTCTCTATGGGAAGCGACTTCATGTACTACGAGAGATCTCGGCAGGTGCGAACAATGTGATAATTTTTTTCGGCTTATGCTACTATAATGAGACGCTGACAGGTAGACTATCATGAGATTAGATTCAGGAGGTGATTGTGTTGGGAATGGTTTCTTGTGGTGGTGTTTTGTTTACACTGACTTGGCTGAGAAACTGCCTGGCAGGTGTTGGCAATTGCACCTGCTTCGGGGACTCGTATTTAAATCAACCACTGGCCCAGGTCCTGTTTACCATTTTTCGACTCCTCCTTCCTTCGATTCTATGTTTGCCTTCCTTCGGTGTCCATTTTATCTGAGTGATTCCGTCCTGCACTGATACTCAACTCATTTTCTTCCATCTATTGGCGATCCCTCTCCTACGATTCTTCCTCTCAACATCCTCCTACTTCTCCTCCATTTTCCTTGCTCAGTTCTGCCTTTACTTTCAAGATGAAGAGCTTCATTCTGCTTGCTACGCTTCTCGTAGTAGGCTTTGCTACCGTCCTTGCCACGCCTCACCGTCAGGGTGCGAAGCGTTTCTCACTGGAAACAAACCGAAAGTCCAGCTCCAAGCCTGATTTTGTTCGGGAATGGGTGGCGGCTCACCAGAAATGGGGAGAGCCAGTCTCGCGAGAGACTCTGGCTGCTTTTTCACTCCTCGATGATGGTATAGACCCATTGTAGCGTGAATATTGCGGATACTGATGAGTTTTACAGATGGTCGTGTGGATGTGAAGCCTATGGGTAGCGATGACATCTACATCGCTGATATCAAAGTCGGCACTCCTCCTCAGACCCTCAAGGTGGCCATCGATACTGGGTCTGCAGACTTGTAAGAGATATTACCTCAAGACAATATGCTTGTGCTAACCAGTCAGTTGGGTCCAATCCACTGACACAATCTACAAAGCAGTCACCGAAGGCCCTTGGGCTCCCCTGTACAGGCCCAATGCATCCAAAACGGCTCATCGCGTTCGCGACGCTGAATGGGCGGTTGAATACGGTAACCAATGCGTCCTTGTTATTTTATCAAAGTAAAGACCATACTAATCTCATGTTAGTTGACGGTAGCCATGCCGAAGGTATTGTCTACCTTGATACTGTTCGTCTCGGAGGTTTTGAACTCAAGGATGCGGCTATCCAATCTGCGCAGCTCATGGCAGCACGCTTCGAGGGCGAACCCGAACTCACTGGCATCATGGGCCTTGCCAAAACGCTCCCTAGCAACGTGGATCCTCCGACACCCTCTCTGCTCGACAAACTCCGTCCCCTGTTGGACAAGGCGGTCTTCACAGTTGATTTGCGTCGGAATGCCACAGGCCGTTTTGATTTCGGCTATATTGACGAGAGAAAGGCCAAGGATAACATCTCATGGATGGCATCGCGAGAGGATAGCCCCCATTGGGACGTCACGTTTGATATGACAGCTTGGACCGGTTCACGCCGAGTTTGGATGGCACGTACTTTCGAAGCTACCATCGATACGGGCACAACTCTCATTTTCCTGCCTCCAGATATTGCAGGCTTGTACTGGAATGATGTGCCAAATATGCGAGTCAACCCTGACCTTGGTGACGCATTCACTTTTCCTTGCGAGTTCGCCGACGAACTGCCAGACTTGATGTTCAAAGTGCCGAAGACGGAGCATGTTCTCAAGATTCCAGGACCGTACCTTAACTACAGCCCTACCGATGACGATCCAAAGTATTGCTGGGGCGGCATGCAAAGCTCAGACGAGCTGGGTGGTATAACCATTATTGGTGATGTGGCTCTCAAAGCGCTATATGTCGCGTTTGACCTTGAGAACAACAAAGTCGGGTTTGCCAACAAGGACCTCGACGATATCGATGACTAAGTAGGATGTTTTGGTTGTATGTTTGTTGGAGCGTGCAGGTATGTAATACGGAAGCTGTCGATTAGGTCATTGTAAGACGAGAGAAAACTAGAGTCAGTCATATGCAAAGAATTGGGAGCAAAATCGAGACTTGACAAGACGGCATCGTTCATATAACGAGGTAGACAAATACTCGTGAATTTCCATTCAACTGGAAAAGATACATATAACCTCATCATGCTGGCCGTCAATCGAGTTGATTGAGGCCCCCGTTGATGCACTTGCAATCAATTGACATGTCATCCATCCAAATACGTCACAATCCTTTCCATCCCATCCCAACCCGTCCAACCCACGCAGTCATGCAGCACTCCACCATGGTGGACCATGCCATGTCCCAAAACAACGTGGACATTATCATCCCATAAACAACATGCAGTAGCCTGACGCAACTGTAGAAGCGAGAGGATGAATGATATAATAAATAACAAAGATGTTGCAAATGCTGCCTCTATGAACGCCGGGAATCTTGGTAGCGAACGACAAACAATGGGGTGTGCTCAGGAAAGGGGTTCCTGAGAAAGTCCTCCAGCAACCAATATACATTGTAAAAATAAAAATAAAAAGCCGAGGGCGTTTGACGTTGGTAATGTACGCCTCGGCTATCATTCGTGGCTTTCTTCCAAACAATAAATCTGGCCGGTGGTCGAAGGGGGCCCGACCGAGTCAGTCATGAAACATGGACCCCTAAAAATGGACGGATGTGGTGAGAAATGCGGTCTGGCTGTGGTTTTGCGGTTGGTTGGCGGCCGTTGGTGTTTCTCCGCACTCAAAAACGTCTACTAGCTTCAGGGATGCTATGCTTGCTTCTCTTGTAAGAGACTGACCGGTGGGAATAATGGGCATTTCCCCTCTCAATAAAAACAAAGAATTGAATGGTTCATCAAGGGCGAAGCAAAAATTAACCAAAAAGGATTCAGGTTGCTTTATTCGTGGTCTCCGTCTTTAAAAGTCAAAAAGTTTCGTCAGCGCGGGCCGTCTTGCAAGTCATCGCGGGTGACGACATAGTATTCACCTTCACTGGCACCCGGGGTCGGGGGCATGTTGCCCGAAGAGGGAGCTTGCTGAGAAGCACGGGCTGTTCCCGGTCGTGAGCGGACCTTGGAGTCGTCCTTGGGGGCGTCGAGGGAACTTGGCTGCTGAGTCTGGGACTGAGCCTGGTTGGCGGTCTGTGGAGATGGTTGTTGAGCGCCACCTGTAGAGCGGCGGAGGCGTTCTTCCATTTCACGAATGCGGGCTTCAAGAGCGGCGAGTTCTTCGGTTTCCTTGTCGACAGTTTGCTTCCTGGGGAAAATTGTTAGATGCGTGATTCAATGAGTGTGACACGGTGAGTAAATGGTAGACCAACTTGGCGTGGACTTGCTGATCCAGGTCGGTGAGAGAGTTTTCGATACGGAAGATGTCCATAAGCTCAGCACTAAACGATCGGGCAATGGTTCTGTAGGAGAGAGATATGTTAGACGTTTGTTCGCGATACTACTGAGTTTGCAGATGGCATGGTGGGCGTCTTCAATGGATTAGAGAAGCGAGTATAGGGGAATACGGACGATTGAGGGCGACGGCCGTTGGGCTGCCAGTCGCGGTCAAGCTCCTCATCGGTGAGAGTCATTTTGATTGGATTGATATATGTTAAAAAGGTTGATGAATTGAGTGCTGCTTGCCTGGATATGACAGTTTGCAATGCGCAGAAAGTATAGAGAGGAGAAGTCGAGGATTTCGTGGGAAGAAAAGGAAAAAGGTGAGGGAGAGCTGCAGCTTTCAAGACAAAGGCAACTTGCACGGTAATTAATGGACGTTTCCAAGGGACGGGTTCTACCTTTTTTTGGAGCTGGAGCTAGACCTAGAATGAGCAGTGGCAGCAACCTCATTCATTCTCTCCCTTTTGCCCCACAGGATCACCTACTGACTCCCGACTACCCACTATGCGCACGCGCACAGCTCAGCCAGTGTCTGTCTTAGGGGGATAAGAGCCCGTACAAGATTGGCCCTGGGAGGCTGGAAGTGGAGGGGTCAGCTAGGGCAGAGAGGAGAGGTCCCCTGGAATTAGCTCCATTTAGGAGGCGGCGGGCGTGGGGTTGCACTAGTAAAGACTAGGGTGTGCATAAGATGGACAGCCCGACATGGCATCTCAGTTTCTTTCACACGGATGCGGATGATGGAAGGGAAAGGGAACAAAGAGGTAAAAGTTAATACGAAAGCGGTCACCAACAGACGACTTGACTGTTTAAAAAAGTAAGTGACTTGGTCTGAAGATGTAGCAACGTGGACGGAAACGTCAGGAGGAAAAGAGGGCCAAGACAATGTCTCATTCTGATACTGTCTTGTTCAGTTCATGATCCTAAAAGACAGGCAAGACAAGACAAGACAAGACAAGACAAGACACAACACGAGGTGGTAATTAATAGTAATGTCTCTCTATCTAAATCGAATGATGCTTCTTGAATATCAAAACTCCAAACTGATAGATACAAACCATCCGTGCATTGATCGAATACTACCTACGTAGTTGACTTAATTACTGATTACTGTGACGGCCCCCGCAAACAGAACGGTGATGCTACTTCCCAACCCCCCCCTTGCTTAAATCGATCACCTAGTAAATAAATGATTGCTGCGAGGAAAGAAAGATTTGTTGTTGATCTTCTTTTTCCGACTTTACCGTATCGAATCTATGTAATCACTAGCCGAGATGGAACTGATGCCCACAGATAGGTACATAAAATTGCTGTTGTAAATGATGAGGTTGTAATTATGGTGGATGCTATCACACCATATACACTCCCCTAAACCAATTACAGTATATATCAATTTAAGACTTTATCTTGGATACCAAATGCATTTTTTTTTGCATAGAGATGCTTTGCTTTACTTTTATACCTGCAATTAACTTCTGACTAGGACCCTGGTTCTTGGTTTCAATGATAGGCTCATATCATCATCATGGCGCATGCAAAGCATTCATCATGCTGACTGAATGGCTGTCATCTGTCAAACTTTGTTAATGCAACTGCAGTTGACTGATTGTATTCGATGATCTCCCATCTCGTTAAATTTCCACTCATTTACACAATCTTGGCTCGGCAGTGCCCATCATTATCAACTAATAGCCATGCCACAGGCGAAAAGGGGGCCGAGTGGGCGGATGACATCAACTTTAATTTACTGTTTCCGTGCCTGTGCCTGCATTTAATGGGGTTTCATTCATGATCCTTGTCGAATTCAGTCCGTCATTGAATCTGGTCATCTCGAGGCCTTGTTCTTTTGAGATTCTTTTTGGATTCGGAAACCAACATTAAACTACCAACATCTGTGTCGCGTGTTGGCTACCAACATACCTCCAGACGTTGGGTCCCAAACACAGCATTCAGTACATGACCAAAGGCATACGCCACCATTTAATGAGACCAGTGTCGGTGAAGTTGATTACTATTGCCATGTTCTCTTTTGACTCTTTATTCTTTTGGCTGATACTGCACTGACTGGCCTGACTCCACTTGTTGGGTTGAGATGAAACATCCCGTGAAGTCATCACGACCAAGGTTGATTGAGTCGGGGACGGAAAGAACATGTTGACAACCTAGTCACAAGACGATGGTGTTCAACCTAGGGGCTAACAGCGAATGACAATTAACTATGATTTGGAATTGTCTATGACTTGTTATCACTTGGTCAGTTGCAAAGCTTTGATCATCGTCTCGGATAAAACACCAGATACCTTATCTTCAGTTCAGGGTAGGTTCGTACCGCATGATGGTTACACGAGACTTCCGTATACCAGCGCATGTCATCTCCACTAAGCGGCTTGAACCGAGCTCGGTCATCCCGATAATGGTTGCTTTGCTATTTAAACATGAAACTAACCGTATTTCATCCAGGCATGCATACAAGGGTAGATTAGGTATTACATACGGATATAATATACAATAGGTGACAACCTGATCGCATAGAAGCACTTATGATACATGTAGTTGTACCGCAGTCATGACGAGTAAACCACGTGCGCAGCACCCAAAAATCGAGGAAAGCCCAAATCGGACTCAACACCACACCTGTTCATCTCACGATATCACAATAAATATTCGTGGAGAAAAAAGGGACAAAAAAATAAGTTGCATGCCCCGTACTGGAATCGAACCAGTGATCTTATCATTACTAGTGATACGCTTTACCACTGAGCCAACGGGGCTTCTTTGCGAACTCGTTAAAGACACCTTCGTAATTGGCAATGATAAAGATAGTTAGATGGTGAATGCAATATCCAAGACAGCTTCTGGTTGAGTGTAAGTTCATAGAGAGTAACCACAAGCAGTCGCTATCAAGTTCACAATCTTGGTAGAAAGTGTAATTACTAGAGTATTTGTATTCTAAAATGTGCTAAAGTCCCTGAAGTTATTATAAATTTAGGATTCATATCTCGTTACTGTACCTAAAGTTGAGTGCCGTTCCATCCAGAAGGAAAAGGATGAATGTGTGCTGGTTTTGCAACGAGAAGATATACTGAGTTCACACCGAATATCACCAACCGCTTCTGACCGACGTAGTGTTATTCACATAATGCATCAACAGTTCATCACCGATAGTGCCCGCGCGAGTGACTGAGAAAATAGTCGAAATAAAAGTAGCTCCAGTGATTGGACATTCATTCAATTAGCTTTTGCTGCACTCTTGCGCTGATCGTGATGAACAGCCAGCTGGCTGTCACTGCCACCTCACTGCATGTCAACAGCACTGCAGCAACCATATATGCTTCGTCTTTGCTACCAGAAGAACAACAGAGCTTACTGGAAACATCTCTTGATTCTGTCAAAAAAGCATTGGATGGTTTTTTTTCTCAAGGAGATTTATTCCCTAGAATCTTATAGAAGGAATACCATTGCTACCTGCATACTCCCACCGCTGCGCTTGTGAGTTTACCACGATACCCGCCTATCTAGAGAAACAAATCTAACCTGAAAAACAGGTAGAGTTATTTTGGTCATCGAGAAACAAGTTCTCATAGAGATCGCTCGTTGTACCGTATCGCGAAAACACCAGGCCAAGCAGCAGTCATGACACACAACAGCACCGAAACTGTCAACCATATTCCATTTACCCGCGATGCTGCAGCTGGATTCATGCTCGGCGGTTTGGGTGGCATAATCGCCTTCTCCTTCTCATATATCCTCGTTTGTTTTGGCTTGAGCAGCCTGCGCGCTCGTCGACAGCGCCGGCGCGAGCAGCGACAGTTGATGGAACTCATACATATGATGGATTTATCGGAATCATAACATGGGACATCGCGATAGAGATCGCTCAGACACAAAGACAAAAAAGAATACAATTCAGCCATGTGATTACCAGGTTCGTTGGGCATTTAGGTGTATGATATTGGCCGAATATGGCCAGAAACCTTGGAAGAGGATATCTATGTCTTGTTAGACTTGAACACCCGTTGTATTATCGAGATGAACAATTTGAGAAGAGGAATTGGTATTTCGTCAAGGTATCCCACGGGTTCTGCGTAAGCTGTGCTGGAATTGCAACCCAATCTAACACGTCTGTCTAATTTCAAGAGAGAACTTCAACAGTAGCTGAACTGTTGCAATTTCACATCATAAGGACAACTGAGTACAGCATTTACGTGATTCACTTCTAATACTAGGACAATGTTGTCACAGCCTAGTGTTGCCCTAACGCTCAAGGGGCCAGCTGCTTACGGAGACTTCTACGCATGTGCATGGTCATATTCCTGGTAGAGTTGGCACCCAACTAAAGCAGAGCGGTCGAGAAGCCATCAACTCAGTTCGAACAAGAAGAACCTACGATTGTGTTGAAATTGACTGCTAGGCTAGCTTACAGGCATTTCGGTAGTTTCTTGACAACCCGCTAAGTACACGAATAGTTGAGCATCTCTTGATACTTGTCGTGGAAGATCACTCATGGTGTCGTGTATAGCCGAGGAAGTAAGATGAACTCCATCAGTTGTTGTCACTTCCCAGATGAGATAAGTTGACTCAGGCTGTCACAAATATTTTGGTAGTGATGATACCGATGTCATAGTCTTGAATGAGTAGATAAATAGAAAAAAATCCTATTTACAACACTAATAAATCCCATAGTAGAAACGCCAAAGCTAACCCCAACCATCGTCCAGTTTCTAAATAAATCCAAATTCTTGCTTGCGCATATTCTTGCGCCGTTACTCTAAATTTCATGGCACTTGTGTTGCGTTCATGAATCATATTCATCGTTTCCGTTCATTATAGTCATGTTGGCACAAGCTCAAACATTAACTTAGAATAGAAGCGGTTTTGCCAGAGCCAAAGGCGGCTGAGGGCACTGGCTTGGAAGCTTGGATCTCTGCTCGCTTTTCAGGGTTCTTGGTAGGGTCGTTGAGATCGTCACCATCGGCGCCAGGGTTGGCCATCTCGTACTCCAGGGTCTTGATGAACCAGTAGAAGCACACAGCGATCAGAGAACCGATACCGGGTCCAACCCAGTAGATCCAATGCTCCGTATCGAAGCTACCAGTGATAACACAGGGGCCGAAGCTGCGGGCAGGGTTGAGAGAACCTCCAGTGAACTGAACTCCGACCATCTCTGCAATGAAAAGAGCCAGACCAATACCGACGGGAGCAATGAAAGTAGCTCGGTGCTTCTCCTTGGCAAGCATGAAGATAGTAAAGACCAGTTCAGCAGTGAGGAGAGCCTCGATGAAGACACCCTGGACCAGAGATGCACCGCCACCAAGAGTGGTTCGGACATTGAATGTTTCAGGGAAGAGGTAGCGAACAACAACAGAGGCAAGCATAGACCCGAGGATTTGAGCGAGGAACAGAACGATGGCTCTTGTGATGCTGATGGCCTTGACCATCAGCATGGCCATGGTGACAGCAGGGTTGAACAGACCACCACTGATACGGAAGAAGACCCAGACATTAACCATGAGAGAGAAACCAAAGATGATAGAGATGTAGAGGAGTTTGGAAACGTTGAGGCTACCAGTGGATTCACCCGTGGTAGTCCTGTTGTTGGTATCAGCCTGGATATTGGCGACCTCTGTGCCAGCAAAGGCAAAGAAAAGGAACATAGTGGTGCCAATAAACTCCCCCACACCAGCAACGAAGTGATTCTTGAAATTTGAGTTCATCCATTGTGTCAATGGGAGGCGCATGATTTCAGACTTCTCCTGCCGGCTCAACTCGTTCCACTGAAGCTTGCCAGTGGTGATGTTGAAGCCGTTGAGAGTAGAGGTGCGTCGGAAAGCATAAGGTCGACCAGTGTAGCCTGCCTCTTCATCCACCATCCTGCGTCTATCATTGGGAGGTAGTCGAGGGTCGTCACTGCTGTAAAACTCCTCGTCTGAGTCAAGAGGGGGTGCTCGACGACGGTTCATATATGTAGGAGGTGGGTAAGGGCCCCTTCGAGTGTACCGATCACGGTCGTTGCGGCCTTCATTGCGGTAATAGCGTTCGTATTCACTCATAGGAGCGTAGTCGGCAGCTTGGTCAAAGTCATAATCTTCACGCTCACGTGTGCGTCGTCGAGCAGATTTTACTGAGCCGCTCGAATATTGGATTGGCTGCTCTGTACCATCTTGAGAGAAGCGAGTAGCCTTGGGAGTGACAAAGTTTCCGGTGCGAGAGCCGGGACGAGATCGCATGGCATCTTGGCTGACAGCAGGCTGAAGAGGCACGACGGTATCAGTCTCGGAGTTTCGGCCGTTGGGCGAGGCGAGGCTATCCCCATGAGTGATGATGGGTGTGATAGCTGGGTTGGAAGGTATGCTCTCGGCTTCTGGAGAGTTCTCCCGGATGTATGGAACCCTATCTTGGGTCGAAGAACTGGAGGCTTCGGCGGGAGGGCTAAAGGCAGGGTTGGCTCCGGCAGGCGTACTGCGAGCCGAGCGATTATTGAGTATGGATGAGGACATGTCGGGAGAAGAAGATGTGAGAGTTGATGCAATAGTAGGCAAAGGGTCAAGATACATTGAAAAGATTCAGATGAAAACTCAAAATGAGGTCCCCTCTCTTGTAGTCAGAGAAGTAGTGTGAGATGATTGAGATTGATTGTAGAGTGGTGGCTATTCGAAACAGTCGCTATGTCTAGATATTTATGCTGCTGAGACTTCTCACCTGCGAGACCAAATCCAGAGATCACCAGGGACCACCAAGGCCCACCAAGTGCTCTGTTACCCTGCCTCGACCATGATTCAATGAGGCTATCCTTGCTAATGACATCGTCGGGATGGCACTGATGGTGGGTATGTAAGTTGAGCACTGATAGACGATGAGGCATTGAGGACGAATAGAAACCGAACAAACTGAGACGAGCGGTGCAGAAGCCTCGACTTAGACAGACAGAAGAAAAAAGAAGACCAAAAGCTTGGATCTTGTGAAGGACATTGAAGGACTAGTTACATGGGAGGACCCTGGAAGCAAGTCAGCCGAATTGGCCAACGGGGAGGCCGGTAGTTGAGTCAAAACGAGAATGACGCACGGGGATCTCAACGATGGTGCCAGCGCGGACCAAGAATCCGGATCGTTACCAATGAAACAGTTCAATGTGAGGCTTGTCCGAGTGATCGGAGCCGGGATGATGGCTGTAGATGAGGCTGGCAACGTGGTCCACACGACTCGACATACGTAGGACGTGCATGCCAGCAACGTTTTTAGCCAGCGACTAGAAGGAGTTTGTTCAACGCAGAGGCCACAAACCGATGTTTCATATTACTAGGCTCTGCACTAAAGATGAAATCAGACGATCTTTCGCCTGCCTCGCCGTTTAGCCAGAACGGTAAGGGCTGAAGTTATTTCGGTATATCCGTTCCATATCAGAACCCGAGTCGGGATCTAATTTCCAGGGGACCTCGTGCCTGTATTAGTGTAAGGTACTCGCCGTTGAACGGGTTTACAGTGGCATGGATGGTCAAGGCGTCCTCGTGGGGGAGGCTGGACGGGCTGACGGGCAATCCGCCCTTTCCAATTGATTAAGGATTCCGTCGCGTTGTTTCAATGTAACGGTATCGAAGATCACTGGGAGGAGATGGTGGTGTACATTCGTCATCATGTCCCGAGATAACCTCCCTGTTTGATGTAAGCCAGCGGCGCAGCAGAACGACAACTCAGCTCCTCAACTCCGGAAAGGAGGGAGGAGAATGACGCGATCCACCAGGGGATCAAACTTCAAACTTGGCAGTTCCATCAAAATGGCAGTGATGGGCAGCATGCGTCAAAAATCCATAACTACCAAGATTTTCTGGAAGCTTTTCTTTTCGAGGTGTGGGGTCCCAGCCCATAAGGAAGAGGCTGGTTGCCCTGGTTCAGCGGGGGTTGAGAACAACCAGAGGACCCTGCAAGTCGTAATTGCAACCAGGAACCTGGGGAAAGATCGTCGCTTGGGTGCAAAGACGAGAGGTCGGTACAGACTCACTAGAGCCCGAAGTTTGACGAGGAATTGCCGATGCCAGTTGAACAGATGAAGAATATTGATTATTTTATCGGACGATTCTGTAAAGTGATGGCATTGACTCCTTAGCGTTGATACTCCTTATTCTCGAAAAGAATAAAAAGCAAATAAACTGTTACCGGTATTTGAGACACGCCCAGGCCAGGTCAGGTCAAAGCTGAAGTTGGCCAGAGTCAGTGATTGAGAGTGAGAGTCAGTCCATAGGCGAGCTAAGTTAAATCGAGATCAGAACTCTGGAAAGGTGCTCAGAATAGAAACCACGTGACAGCGCGTCCATTCATCCAGTCACATCACATTTTCCATCCCCAGAAACAACCGCGAGCGCGCCTAATTGATTACCTACTAACTGTAGGGCTTGTATATTGCAGCGCTCAACAAGTCCTTCCAGTATTGATCTAAGCTAATTGCAGTGACTGCCACTGTCACTGTCACTGTCAGATATAATAGCTATCGAGCATGGATATCACACGTGGCTCGAGAAGAGCTCGTCATGTAGCTGCCACTCATGCAAACACAAATGCAAATGCTCATCCTCGTGCGCATGCAAACACAGCCTCGAGCCCGAGACCCCCTGAATCCGAGATAACCTCATCTCCAGCTCCCCGTTTTGCCGCCACTCCAAGCGGTCCTGCTACTAGGAGTAGGCCGCAGCTAAGCCAAGGAGCATCGCCAGCTGGCGCTTCCATGATAACTCCTGACGGACCTCCTCTACATCGAACACCTGATCAGCCACCTGACAGGCAAAGGCGTCGAGCACCACCTCAAAATCCATTTCGTCTATATAGAAGAAGTAAGTTGAGTTCTTAAATCGAGTACTTTAATGATGTTGCCCTCTTTTCTACTGGTATTGCACTGTATTGCCGCCTTGCCAGTTGCAGGTAGTTGGTAGTTGGCGGGCAGTTGTTATCAAGTCATAGCAGCTGCCTGCACTTCGCACATCGTTCAAATGATAGAACTTTGTCCATTGTTCAATCCTTCAAGTTAGTCCACCTGACGCCGATTGCCAATTGCTGCTCGACCTGTGGGATCTTTGCTGCGCACTCCAACGCCATGTGAGCCCATCTTTTCCTTCTGCACTCTTGCATTCTCATCACACATGCATCCCTCACAACTGCAAAACTGCAAAACCCTGTCAAACATATACTCTACAACAATCTCTTCCTGTATTCATTTCTTTCAATACTATTTCTAGTGTGTTCTTTCGCAAGCGCACCTCTTCCCCCCTTGTACCCGAACATCTCAGTTGTTCCGCGAACGTGCCTCCCCAACAGAATCATTATTCTGCCTTCAACCATTCTTATATTCCTTATATTCGCAAAGGTCTCATGGATCGAACCCCTCTCGGTGAACTGCCTTTCAAGAAAAAGAACGGAGAATTGCTTCGCAAGCGCGTGCGAATTTTCAGACCGATCCCTTCTTACGAATACGAAGACACAGAGAACGATAATGCTGTTCTTCGAGCCGCGCAAGAGAACCTCATAATCGTCAAAGAGATGATGGCCGAGCGAGTGCGACTAGATGTTGACAACCTCATAGCAACACTTGCCGAAGGCCCGCAAATCAGCATGCCTCCTGTCGATTACGACGGCTCCAGCTCCGAGCCAGAACCTGATGACAGCATCCTCCAAGGCCGTGCCCGCCCAATGCCTGCACTAGCACAAGCAGCTGCCATAGCCGCTCAAGTTGATGATTCTTTTAACGGTAACCTTACTGCCGAGGAGGAAGATGCGGGAGTCGATCAGCAGACCGTTTCCGCAGAGGAATATGAAGACGATAATTCGGAAACCGAAGAGGAAGACGAGGACGACGAGGATGGTGACGAAGACCAAGCCCAAGAAATCGCTCCCCTTTTTGATCCTGCTACTGCTGGTCTTAAGGAAATCTCCAACCTCGCTCGCTTTACCGTCAGCAGCCACAAGCCTGGTAACGGGGTTGAAGAGCTCAAGAGTGACGACCTCAAGCAATTCTGGCAGTAAGTGCACCTGCAACCATTCAATTCCCTGCTTTACTAACACAACTTCAAGATCCGACGGCCCTCAGCCCCACAAGCTTACCATGTACTTTACCAAACGTGTTGGCATCCGCGACATTAGATTCTATGTCGACTACAATGAGGATGAATCTTACACACCGACAAAGGTCGTTTTCAAGGCCGGTACCAGCGAGAACAACCTCATCGAATTTGCTACCATGACCATGGAGAACCCCGTAGGCTGGCAGCAAGTCCCTATCGCTGGCGCTGGCGGTGATCTTGACGGCAACACTCTCGTCGCCTGGGTTGTGCAGATGCAGATCTTCGAGAATCACCAAAACGGCAAAGACACACACCTCCGTGGAATCAAGATTTACTCTTTCGACAATGACTCCGCCCTCGGCCCTGGTCGTGAGGGAAACCCTGTTGACGACGTCGTTGGACTAATGGACAATGCCACTGGCCGAGCCGATGTTGGTGCCACTCGTACCCAACAGAGAAACTTTGGTGCTTCCCATTTTGAACCTGGCGAGGGAGGTCTCTCTATCCCCAGCTTCATGCGCGAGGCCGAGATTCGATAAGGAAATGTCAGAACTAAAGGGGATTGCACAGAGAAAGCATTTAGTGGAGTTTGGAGTCGAGAAGATGTTTGTTGTTTGACACGATCTATGCCTAAGGAGGCTGGCTGCACTGGGTTCTATGGATTACGATGGCTTCACAGGCAGTCTCACCAGATGGCTGGAATAGATCGATGAGGGATGATACCGGGATTTGTATACAGTTCTAATCCTTACCAATATCACTAGACACGTAGCAGAATGGCGATGTCAATTATAGCGTTTTAGCGATATATTGCAACTAATGTCTCTCTGTACATAAGGAGTGCTGTGTGCACTGCCGGCGGTATGTCTTCTCGTCCCCAGCCCACTCCACCTCATATTAGCAGTTGAAGACATAACTAGTATTACACGCCGGCTCTAATACCAAAGCCTTGTTGATGATAATTTGTACAAGTGCGTCAGATTTTGAAAACTCTACCGCTTCTCAACCTCACTCGCCTCTCTCCTCTTTGCTCCTGTAGTTACCCACTGCTTATCAAACAACACGAGCAGGCATGTCTTCCATGTCATCCATAACACTGTCCGAGTCATCAGCAACGGAGAAATCGGCGGCAGTAGTAGATTTGAATCTGCTAGGTGTCTTTCGCTTGCGAGCCTTGGCCTCGTCGACCTCGGAGTTGTCATCTCCGGGGGCAGAAAGCTGTGCTTCTCCATCGTCCTCAATAGGGTCTCGAGAAAGAGCTGCGGCACGCCTTGTATTTCGTCTGGTTGACGTGGCTTTGACTGGTGTTGATCGAGCTGATGCCTTTCGAGGGGTCTTGGGCGCCTTTGCCTTGCCCATGCCTGTTCTCTTTGCGACCCGAGTAGCCTTGGGAGGTGCAGGCTCAAAGAATTCGGGAGTGTCAACTGGCTTGGCAATGGGCGCCTCTTCTTCTTCTATTTCTTCTTCTTCTTCTTCTTCTTCTTCTTCTTCTTCGACAATAGGCGCAGGCTTTTCTTCGAGTTGCGTTGCCTCAACAGCCTCAACAGCCTCAACAGATTCAACAGGCCCCGCAGAGAGTGCTGGGTCAACCATTTCGGCGGGATCCATAGGTGCCAGGTCCGCAACTGGCGTTACCGAGTCCATCGATGCCATTGGAGCAGGGTCGAGATGTCCCATTGGAGCAATGGGCAGATCGGGTTGGATGTTCTCATTAGGAACCCCATATTCATCAATCTGTTGCTCATCGTCATTTTCGTCTTCGACACGTTCGGCACTGATGTTCTCGCCGTTGTGGGATGTGCCGTGGGTAGGCTGATTTATCGGGATCAAACTCATGAATTCCATTTCTGCAACATCGCCGTAGAGAGCATCATCGACGTTCGGGAGCTCGCCTGTTTGGCTGTACACGCCCATCAAATATGTTGCGCATTCACTTGGGTTCTTCTCTGCCTCGCCGGGAACTGTTTGTCTCAGGCGTTGCCACAAGAGCGATTGGGTAGGGCGATGCCAGCTGGCACGGAATTTCTTGTCGACAAGTCGCTGCCAAGGGATCTTGGAATCGGTTTGCGCCGTTGTGTTTTGAATAGCCATAACCATGCGGTAGCGTTCTTCTTCAGGCATGGCGGCGATTTGACGGCGAGCCTTCTCTAGGCGGAAAGAAATGGAGGAGTCAGGTGCATTAGACGCCAACTTGTCCTTGCCATGAGTCTTGATGTTCATGGCTCTCCATTTCGTGATACACTGAAGTCGACTACGAGTTCTGCCCATGCGCTTACTGATCTCCTGCCAGTCGATAAGGTCCATGTAGGGCCTGTCATTGTTCGGATCGATATGAGCTATCGATTCCATGACAATCTGGGTCAGACTGCGTTCTTCATGTTCGTCCCATGTATCCTTTCGCTGCGATTCTCCACAGACAATGTAGTTGCGCCAACGATCTCGAATATCTTCAGGGTGGCGGTTAATGATACCAGCAATTTTGGACCACTTCTTATCATGAACCTCCATAAGGTCACGAAGTTCCATGTCCTGCTCAGTGGTCCAGGTACCGCGAGCAACAAAGTTGTGGAATTTCTTTCGAGTGATGTTGATGATCTTTTGTCGGTGACGGTCAGGACAAGTTTGAAAGATTTGGGCCCAAAGATCCGCGTGCTCATCACTAGCGGTTGTGCCTCCAGGGGTATGAATCATCTCATTCAACTTATACTGTTCCATATTGTTGGCGGAACGATACGCCTCGACTGCTCGTGCGATACGACTAAGTTCCTCATCGCTGAACCGTCCCTTGGTATGACCATCCATTCGGCCACGGCGTTGTGGATTTTGGTCATCATCTGCATCCTGCATTAACTGAGACGGGGCATTACGGTTGGTGTCGGACTTTCTGCCTGATGCTTTCTTAGCACGCTTTCGAGCTGCTGGCGTCGTGGTAGAGGGCGATTGTGGCGGAGCGTATTCGTCCTGCTCAGGGGAGGGCGATTTCTCAAAGAATGTTGGCTTGGCCTTTTTCGCCTTGGCTGACCGCGATTTCTTTGCGTTTGTACTGGGTGGGTTCGGCGTTGGAACAGGGCTTCCTGGAAGATCGTACACATCATGAGTTGTGTTTGGGCGTTGCGCAGATGTGGGGACCTCCATCTCATCATGTTGTCCCGCTGAGTCCTGAGGGTTGATGTTGTTTTGCGCGTTGTGGACCTGCTCACCCCATGCTTGTCTAGTTTCCATCTCGATATCTTCCATTTGTGGGCCTTGCGGTCCATTGTATTGGAGGAACTCAGGTTGCTCAATGGCTTCGTTTTGGTTTCCTTGCGCAGCTGAAGCGTCCAACTCCATCTCGTCATAAGCGGCACTCCCTTCTCTGGATTGAGCATCACGCGTCTCGAGGCGTGCAGCACTTGGTGATCGTGGAGTATCCTCTGCAACATCATCGTAGATAGCACCTGGACGGGACACGTTCCTGGTGTGCAAGAATGATGCAGCTTGAGGATCATGGGTGTTCACTTCCTCCGATGCAGACTGGGCACCTTCTTGTGTTTCTGGCACTTTATCTTGGGATTCAGCGGCAGCTCCATCATCGCGAGATCTATGCTTCTTGCGCCGTTTTCCATCTGCAGAGTCGGAGGTTTTGCGCTTGCGTTTCGTTTGCGTAGCAGCATCGTCATCGTTAAGGTCGACAGCTGAAATTTGACCAGGCAGAGATTGATATGTGTTTGATGGAACGTCGTTGGCAAGGCTATCGGGGATCTCGGCCGGTTGAGCTGACTTTTTCTTGGACTTTCTATGCTTGTGTGAGGAATCCTCTCCAGTCGGTTGGGGCGATGCACTGTCGGTTGTGTCTTTTTGTTTGCGCTCCTTCTTCTCGCGCTTGTGCTTTCGTGATTGAGTGGAAGGTGGTTCCTCTGCCATAAATGCCTCAGGTGCCTTTTGGTCTAAAGACGCGCTGTTGATTTGCGACGAGTAAGGAGCTTGTGTCGCGTTGCTATCGAACATTTCGAGCACGCCAAAGTCTTGGTCATGGCCGCCGTCGTCTGAACCGGCGTGGGCGTCGTCTTCGTAGCTATCTAGCCCCCCGATACCATCAATTAGCTGGTCTTCGGCCTCCATGTCTTCGTGGGCCACCTTGGGTGACTGATATGACTCTTCACGAAGCTCGTTCTGGTGTTTGCTTCCGTGCTGCTGCTCGTTCTTGTGGCCTTGATCAGCTGCAGCGTTGTCGCCGTTGTTTTGCTTCTGTGGCGTGTTAGGCTGCGAGCCTGGTATCAAGGACAACAGAGTAGACGCGAGCCGGAAATCACGCCACTTGCTGTTACCAGTGCCGTTCGATGACATCGATGAGCTGCTTTGCGACGATGATTCCTATCTCATTCGAAGCACGCGGATGAAGACGTGTAGGGTAAGGTGAAATAGTAAGAAGGTGTGGGGCGTCACGAAAAAAACTGACAGCGTAGCTAACCTAGAGATGTCTGCTCGCGTTGTCGTGACAAGCTTTGTCCACGTGACCCACTCACGATCAGATCACCCCTTTCTATCACCCCGGAGGTAGGCAAGTGCAAGCCATTGTTTAGTAAACAGTGTTTACTAATAATACGAAAGGTCTGAACTGCATGCATGCACTTAATGTTGATTTCAGTATAGGTGGGTAAATATTGTTGATTAAGACAAAAAGAAAAACTAGAGTAGTACAGCTATGTTTAATGTTATTTCGACATGTGTCAAGGAAATCTATGTAAAAAGTCCGGTTGGCTGTTGTTGTACAGGTCACTTCATAAAGACCTAAAGTATCCATCTACCTCATCTCGCTCATAATATCTCTATGCCCTCAAATAAAACAATGAATGCAGTCGTTAATCATTGCGTGGCGGTCCCTCGTTTCCAGGAAACCACTGTTCGGGCTGTTCCTCCTCTCCTTCCTTCAACTTCATTATGATACCCTTTCGCGTTTGCTCGATCTCGTACTGACCGCCAAGAACCAAATCTTTGGTAACAAGCTCGCGGGTTCGGCCCAAACTCTCAATGGCGGCAATTCTCTCGATCGTGAGCTCCAGGTGTTTGTCAAAACCAGGCTCGGAACAAATCTCTCTAAACGCACGATGCATTGGTACGCTGCTCGCTCGAACATCTGCCTGACTCGTGATGCTGAAAAGGTTCAAGCTATCAAGGTCCCGAACAAAGTCGCATCTGGTCATGATTTGTTGAGCAATATGGAATTTGTACGTCGGGAGCTTATGACCTTCGATTGGGTCATATGTCTCGTGATTCGCCATATCGTCTTCTTTGTCAACCAAAGCCTTGGCCAGGCTCATGGCAGCAGCCTTGTAGTCAGTTAGCAAATTGTGTCCCAGAATAGTGATATCTGTTCCAACTTACAGCCCACTTTTGTTGATCCATGACATCGTCGTCCATCTCCTTACCAAGGATCCAACATTGGTTGAGAAACCACTTCTTTTCGATCTCCTTGATTATTTCACAAGTGGCAAGCATATCCTTACTCTTTGCTACTCTATTCAGAAAGCTCAAGCGTCCTCCAACCCTTTCGTAGACCTCTTCAAGAATGCCATGATCAATGGCCTCCTTCCAGTATTTCTGTCGATACCTCCGAAGAGCCGATATAGCCTGCTGTTTAGGTAGATCGGTAACAGGGAGAACTTCCATTCTGGTAGCCAGCTGTTTCAGACGTTCGTATACCCAGTAATCGTCCGAGTTGAAAACCATAGTAACAATATTGGCAGCAGCCCATTGCTCAGCTTTCTGCTGAAGTAGTTCAATCAGATCTCGTCCATCGTCATTATGGCGAAGAAGATGCATCTGGTTTACAATGACCACTAGAGGCTTGCCTCTTTCTTTCCGTTTCGTCATGGCCACCTTTTCCAGCTTGTTCAGAGCGCGTTCAATATCCAGTAGAGCCGTAGTTTCGCGAGGACCTCTTTCGCTGAAATACCCACCAATATAATCCTCGTGGTACTCGTAGTCAAGGGCTTTGCCAAGACGTATGCGGAAGATCTCAAGATCCGCGTGCGCCTCAAACATAGCAACACCATCGCCCTCGTTTTTTCGCATAGCATCGATCAGCATACTGCTTTTCCCACAGCCCTTCTCGCCTATCAGGAGGTGGTAGTGTCCTGCGACGCTTCCCATGACGATGGCGTCGACTCGTTCTTGTTCAGGGCGGAATATCCAGTGTTCGTTGCTACCACCAGGTTTGTGAGGAACATCTTTTCCAATTGCAGCCAAATCGAGCACAGGATCACCTGGCTCAAAAGCATGTGTCATTTTCTTAATCACGAGCCATTTATAAGACTTATGGTAGATATAACCTGCAGCAGCGAAGCCTAAGCCCAAAACCAGTATGGAAGCGAATGTTGTGGCGGCAGATTCTCCCATTTTAGCAAGAAGCGAAGGCTCTGATGAAGATCTGTGACCTTTTTGGTCCTCAGCATCATAGCTCCGAGTATCATCTACCAAAAACATTAGCAATGGCTCCGTGAATATAAATAAGATTTCCCTCCTGACTAAACACTATCTGTGGACATGTATTTCTTCAGGGAGCTGATCGCGTGCACAACGTTTGGGTGCTAGACCCCAATACCAGCAAAAAGCTATTTGCTCCATGGAAAGATGGAACAAGTCTTGCGCAGTTGTAATGCGAATGAGAAGTGTTGAACACGTACCTCTCTTTTTGTTAGATTGGGTTGAGAATCGGAGCTTGCCATTGCTGACTATGTCGAGGTTTCGGTTCGGGCTCCAATGCCGAACCTGAAGGCCAGCTGAGCGTGCCAAGTTCAATGAGCTGACAGGATGGTTGAGGCGACGCACCAGGCGTCCTGAATGCCGGAGGATCATTTGGTTGACTGGTGAAGCTTAGTAGAAGATAAACATTAGGACAACGACTCAATTGACGTGGAAGTTTAAAGTTATTCAAAGCTATGACGATGCCAAAGAACAAAGGAGAGAAGAATGAAAGGAAGGGAGTTGAAATCGAGTGGTTGCTTCGTGGCACCAAACAGAAACAGAAACAATCCGGGACCGGGCAGTTCAAGTCAAGTCAAGCTTGGCTTTGGTCCCGACTAAAAACAAAGTTAGTTTCGGTTCCTTGAGGTGTGCTGCGTCAGAACCACCCAGTGACAGTTAGCTGCCCTGAAACTGGCTGCGATTGGCCTTGGCACTTCAATTTAACCAGATCCTCGGCGACAGCTATGGAAGCTCCCCTGTAATTTCAGCGAGAGGGTCCGCTAATCTTGGCACTAGTCTAAAAATCGCTGTAATTTTAGTGGAAAATGCAGGAGGCCTCGTCAATTGAATGGAGACTCAGCAGGCCAGGGGTTCGAGATGCATGTCACCGCAGTTCTTGATTCCAAGATGACCGCATGAGCTGCAGTCAACAACATCGAGACTGTCATCTTAAAAAATAGACAATCCGCTTCTACTCAGAACGGATTTTAATTATCAACAAACTAGCACGTGATACGTGATACTTTCTTGAAGTCATCTCGATTCACAGAAGGAAGGCAAGACAGTGAATACCTGCCTCAAAAATAATTCCGATAATCACCTACAATGCAAAAAAGGGCAAACACCAAAACCGCAAAAGGGCACTGCTCATAGGTGCAGACGGCGTTTACAATGGCGAGGCTAACTCAAACGGCAAAATTGCACTGCTGCCTGCAAACTACAAACGCTCGGCCTAGGAACCGACTTTCTCTATCGCGCTTTGTCAACCGTCAACCTCAGTCGGGCTTTACAATCTAAACATCTCGGTTCCCGCACCATGCTTCCCTCACCTTATGAGACATAGGCCCTTGGTTATCAGCCAATACGAAACAATGCCGCCCTACGCTGCCGACCTCGAAACCTGGTGGTTAGGGAGTGGCTACGATTTCATCAAACACCTGATCGACACCGTGACCAACGGCCTCGACCCTCGGCAGTGTGGGTTTGCGCAAGAGATAAAAACACGACTGCTATCATTCGACAGCGATCCAGAGATCGCAGAACAAATCAAGAAAGATTGGCCAGCAATTCATGCGGCAAGAGGCGTCGACTACGATGCAAACAGTCGTAAATATGCCAAGTACGTCGCTTCCACCATCTTTCGGAAGCCCGAGAATGGAGGTGTCAATTTCGATCTCGCAATGAATGGTCTGGGCTACCTCGATGCAATAGAAATTCGCCGTCTTCGTATCCTCGAAGCTGTAGATGAGGCTATTCAAGCTGCTCCACCGCAGGAAGACCGGTCCCCAATGCTTCAAGAGATTGAACGGACGTCCACCACCAACTTCAAAAAATTGCATGCAGGGCTTAGGACATGCGTAAGATATGCGTTACCCCGTGAAAAACATATAACAGCTGACCATTTCAGATTCTTATCGAGGAGCTGACCAAAGATGTTAACCACAGAAAGGAGGCTGCTCAGATCATGGCACTACTCAACGCACTTGTGCCCTCAGCTGTATTTTTGAGGGACACAGATGATGTAGACCCAACTCCACATTCGTCAGGTGTCCGTGATAGTGTTCGATTCTCAGTTTTCGAACATCTTATTTCCAAGGATTGCTTCACACAGGAACGACAGGAGTTTATCCGGATGAAGCTGCGTTTCTGGTGTGATACCTCTAGTTATGTAGAGGTTAGAGACGTCATGTTGCGCTACTGTGAAGAGTTCAAGAAGGTGGAGGAGCTCTCCATGAGGCTTTTGAACAAACTTGAGAAAAGATCAGGTAACACGGTATCTTATCATGCGGTCACTGCCGGGTCTCCTATGAAATCTAGCGTAGACACATCATGCAACTCTGGTCCACAGGCCAGTTCTTCTCAGCTTGAGAGCACTATCCTTATCCCGAACACCTCACTAGAAAATCAAGGATCTGCAAAACAGCCACTCGCGACGCCTCAACTCCCTCTGGCTTTCCATCCCCTGCTGAGAGGCATGCCTGGGCGAGAACTTAGCCCTGCAAAGACAGACATTGCTCTGCTCGCTAGAGACATGAGCCAACCGCCTATTGCTTGTTATCCTGACGATCTGTCAAAAACCTTTTTTTACCAACACCCCCGCGCCAGGAAGCTCAAAATGTCTACACAAGAACAGTCGACCCTTGGTCTTCTCTTGCCTGCAGAACTCGTCGATCAGCGAGATTACTAGTACGATTTCGACAGCGAGTATGAGGCAGATGAGGATGTACGGCCGGCTTCTCCCAGTGCACAAGTCTCCGACAAGCTCAAAATGCACCACCCACCAGGCGCCTTGGACAAGATCGAAAGCAAAAAGTACCGTCAGCCTGGTCTGCCAGATAGCAAAAGATTGGAAGAAATGCATTTTCAACCACGAGACGAATGCATGGCCAATTCTAACAAAACTCAGTCAAGCCACGGAAAACGTCTACCGATGTTTACAGGCAACATCCCGCAATCTGAACCACTTGCAGGCGCAGATCATCAGAAGTTGAGCTTTGATGACAGCAACCATGAAGCCTCTCCTGCATCCCAGGCCCTTCAACAGAGTCCAGGACAGTCTATTGCGCAAGACACCGAAGAGCCGCACGTTCACCAAAAAGAGCCCGGGACAAAGGATCTCCCCCAACCAGCGTACCCGCTTGCGAAACCCCGGATCTCGCCCATGGAATACGCTCGTATGTACCTATTGGAGAAATCCAAGGCCTTTCGCGAAAACCGACAGTGCGAGCTTCCGAGACCTGACATGCAGTGGTATTGGACCCCTGGATACAAGAAGTTTATCATTATTCCTCGAATACCCAAGATAATTCGACGCGATCTGGTTTCTGAAGATGCCTATTCTGTTCCTAATTTAGATGTGCAAGAGTTTAACAAAGGACAAACATCAAAAACAATTTCACAAGGAGAGGACCTCATCGGGCTCATGCGTCTATCGCTACACCTCGGGAAGGATCCTGTTCTCCTTCCTGTTTTCCCGGAAAATCCAGATCCCAAGGGGAGTGGTGATGAAATTCCTTATCAAGGATCCAGTAGAACGACGGAAGCCCCCAATTCTATTGACGTGTACCAAGGAAAGAATCTATTAATGCCACACCGAGGTAATCTCCACTACCACCATAGGAACTCAGTGTTTACCGCTCAGCACTGACAGAGACAGGACCGGCTGGAGGCAGAGTCGAAGATTGGCGGCCAATAGGTGAACATGAAACGGAAGTAAACGATGAGGGATCGGACGCCACGACGCCAGTTGATGTTGGTAGCAATGAGAATACAATATCTCAGTCGAAAAGGGCCACAGGAGGAGATACGCCTGCGCCTAGAACCCAGGCATCTAACATTCACGATGAGCGTCGTAGCCATATAATTGCAGAAGAGCTCGGCGAATGTTCTTCAGGATCACGCAAGAGCTTTGAAACAGTAGCCCGGAAAGAGTTTTCAGACCAAGTAGATGTGAAGGTTGAGGACGATGCCGAAAACCTCACACTCTCAAGACAACTTTCACGCGTCTGCGCAAAGGATATGTCAGTTTTGGAATTTGCCACGCCAAGAAAAAAGGGTAAGACAATGGAGCACACTTTAAGCCAGTTGAATACTATCTTTGGCCATAGTCCGCTTGCTCGCTTCCCCATAGTAGTCGAGCCGACTGACCGATTGACGCCAGGGACTCTCGCAAAGCGTGTCGTTGACAGTTCTGGTGGCCAGCTCCTCTCTGAGGATATTCGGCAAGCTCAGCTGATCCCAAGTCCCAGCGATAAGCCCCTTCAGGGGTTGAAGGCAGACTTGTGGGATATCGATGCAGAATCGATGTTGTCTGAACTCAAACCAGAGCCGCTGCAGATTAACCGGCAGAGACCACGCGCGAATACGGACGATGATCGAAGATGGTCGAGAATGTTTAATGAGCTGAATGCCGATGTTCCATCCTCGCTTGGGATGATTGGAATCAAGACCTCACTCGATCCTCATAAATCCATGGACCATGAATTTGCTGTTGCCGATGATGATGACGACGACGACGACAATACGGTAACGGAAGGTGATCGTACGCCACGCGCTTCGGGGGCCATGATACAGAACGTTGTAAACGCAACCCCAGTGCTCAGAGGTCTTCAGAGGTCCGCTTCGACAATCATCACTCCCACACAGCCCAGCAGAAAACTCCATCACCAAGCTTCATACAATTTGGATAATGTAGAGCATTCCGGATTCACGCCTGAACATCGCCGGGAAAGTATCACCCAAGGAACATTTCCGAGATCAGGCGTAATGCTCAATCTCCACGACACTCAAGCACGTCTCGGATATCCCCTTCGGGGCCCCGAGGAAAGCCAGCTCAGTAGAAGCTTGGACGACACAACCCCAAAGGCCAAACATTTCAACGGTATGTCTGAAACAGACCGACACAAGCAGAATTCGGTCAAAGAGTGGGTGAAATCTATCGCGATGACACCGCGAAGACACAAGATTGTGTCGCATGCCAGGACCGAAGACAAAAAGGAGACTTATACATCAGGCGCTCAGATAGCCTCGTATGATACGTTGGATCAACAGAATGCCCAATCTCTTCTGATAACCTCTACACGAGATTTCTCTCAATCTCAAAAGCTCCAAAAGCAGCGGCTGAAGCCAAGAGATACTCCTAGCAGCACGCACCCTTTTCCGAAACAAGAGTTTGATACACAAGGTCGAGCTCAATCACCATTTCCTCCTGCAGGAGAGCAAAATCTTTCTCGTCGCAGAACGCCGTCCCCAACAGAACAACGCACCATTTCCGTTCCGTGGACGCCTTCTTCAGGAATCGGTAGCGTTCTCCGCAGGCGGGTGCGTTCTGGTTACAGCACACCGGGAACACCACGAACACCACGAACACCAGGAACACCACGAACACCACGAACACCACGAACACCACGAACACCACGAACACCACGAACACCACGAACACCACGAACACCACGAACACCACGAACACCACGAACACCACGAACACCACGAACACCACGAACACCACGAACACCACGAACACCACGAACACCACGAACACCACGAACACCACGAACACCACGAACACCACGAACACCACGAACACCACGAACACCACGAACACCACGAACACCACGAACACCACGAACACCACGAACACCACGAACACCACGAACACCACGAACACCACGAACACCACGAACACCACGAACACCACGAACACCACGAACACCACGAACACCACGAACACCACGAACACCACGAACACCACGAACACCACGAACACCACGAACACCACGAACACCACGAACACCACGAACACCACGAACACCACGAACACCACGAACACCACGAACACCACGAACACCACGAACACCACGAACACCACGAACACCACGAACACCACGAACACCACGAACACCACGAACACCACGAACACCACGAACACCACGAACACCACGAACACCACGAACACCACGAACACCACGAACACCACGAACACCACGAACACCACGAACACCACGAACACCACGAACACCACGAACACCACGAACACCACGAACACCACGAACACCACGAACACCACGAACACCACGAACACCACGAACACCGGCTTCCCCTCAGTTAGCCTGGCGGCCGTTTGATAACGACCAGCCCGAACCACCTTGCGTTTCACCTTGGTCTTCGAACAACCATGAAATCAAGCGGGACAGGGAGAAGCGAATAGCTTTCTTCCGTGAAAAGGCAGAACTTGAGTTCGAGGAAAAGCAATCTCCCAAGAAACCGAGTCGTAAGAGCTCTTTTGGGAGCACTATTCTTGGAGACCGCACAAATCGAGATAATCCAGCCTTGGAAAATCGCATGAGTAATGAAAGTCTTGTTACCTGGAGGAACTTCATCCAGGACGCCCCCGAGCCACTCTTTTCGTCTCCCCCGCCACCTGTACCACCACTTCCCACCGAGTCTCAGTTGACCCTTGCCCTCGGCCAACTTCAACAAGCGCAGACACCATCCAGGGCTGCTGCAAGTGCTGAGACTCTCCCCGTTACTTCTTTCCGGGCTAGGAAGCCTCAAGGACTCAAGGTTGATACGGACTGGGCGCGTAAAGCAGACCAAGATGGAGCACGAACACCGAGTCGAAACGCAGGAATGAAATCTGTTAGTGGAAGCAGCAGCAGAACTGCACTCCGTTTAGATGGCAGGTAGATGGGTCTTGGATGAGCAGCGGCGGAAGAAGAGCACTAAGGCAGGGGACGGGATGACGAGGTCATATCGCGACGCAAAAAGCCATGAAGTCGTATTTTGAGAGCTTGTTGTCTACATGTCTCAGGGTCCAGATATTTTGTACATAGGCTACAAAAGTGACATCTCAATCACATTGTGAAGGTGCTTTACGCATTTGAGAACATCTGTATGTAGCTACCACGGTCACTCACCGACTTGAGTCGAATCCAGTACAGAGAAGCCAAGACTTTACGAAATCAAAATGTTTTTCATAAAGTCTGAATCAAACTCTAGTGCCACACAACCAAGGGTGGAAGGAAATACACGAGTCACTTCAGATAGCTCAATGCAACATCAAACGAAGGATCCGAAAGAATGGGACCTGTTGTAATCAATTGCGTAGCCAAGTTGCCAAGAGTTTTTATCGCTGTGATTGAGACACGTTTCTCACCATGACACAATCAGCATGTAACTTGCAGGGTCTTTGTTATCATGAGCTTCATCAAACACCATTCCCATGAGCACATGTTGCACACTGGACCACATTAACCATCTTTTTCTGATTGAGAACCAAGTCGTACCATGCATGAATCACAGCGGTACTGCAGAACATGGAAAGCACGCTAGAGATCACATCCATCATGCCTGGATAGGAAGAAAAAAAAGGCTTGAGACAAGCAGTGTTGCAACACGTACGTTCGTTCACATTGGTGCAGCCACGCTATACCACACCAGGGATGAGACTCGTTCGCTTCATCTCGGCATAACACACACAGCATGGAGGGTTCCCCTATGCCAGTGGTTTATCAGAGAGTGCCCAATCTCTTTGCCAATTGAGGATACGGAATACTATCGAGGACATGGGGCACAAAGGTAGTTAGGTCGTTCGCTTGATAGGAGACCCGTGACGACGCACGAGACTTGGACTCGAGCGACGTCGAATCACCTGCAGGCAGAGGGAACCCAAATCTACGAGATCCCCTTTTGGAGAAGCCCTCTGGACCAGTCAATTAACGTCTGAAGATTTAAATTACAAGCTGGTGACCAAATGCCGAGCGAGTCAAGAAGCCGAATTCCGGGGAGGTGTGGCGTAGTAGGACAGGACAGGGCAGGGGTGTTCTTCTAGACATTTGAGGCCAAGAAGAATAAAAAGGTTATTGCCAAGGTAACTATTTGATTATCAAAACGTAAATTATACTAAAGGGTCATCGCGTAAGGTTGGGTGATGTCGATTGAGTGGGATAGTACAGCGCTACAGCTGGTAGGGTGGTATTTCCCATTGCAGTCTCCATTGCTCATCTTGATAATGGCGTCGTCTTGTGATGAAGCCATCCACACATATCAAAGGATTGACACACCGCTCCCCACGAAGCCCCCCACTTGTCGTCCGCCCATCACTCTTCTGTTTCTCTCATCAACAAACACCATGGCACGATTTTGTTTTTCGAACAATAACCAGCCCCGCCTTCAAATGGGTATCCGTCGATCATCCCCAGCCTGTGCGTCTGGGGTATGAGATGACTATCAATTGATTACTTCTCGATCCTGAAAAGTAAATATCTCACCTCGGGTTTCGGTTAATGCCCGAGACGCCTTATCTCTATTTCAGATTTATTCGAATATAGCCTGTAGTGTTCGTGTTTTCGGACCGTCGGGATCGGTCCTGACACGACGCGCGCTGAAAACAACACAGAGGTTATTAAACACCTTCGTTTTGATGCAATATGCGCCAAGTCGGCTATTGCAGTCCTGCTGAGAGAAAGGGTCCTATCAATCCGCCAAAGTGTTGTTGATATGCCTCAAAAAGTAGGATTGGACTATTTGCTCCGGTCATGGTCAATTTAGGGTGACCCAGTAAAACCGCCAACGCCCGGTCGAATCTTCTTTCGAACGTTGGATGTTCCAGCATGAGGCCGACACATTCCAGGATATCCATCACCTCCTGAATATACCAGTCGTGGAGTGAGTATAACGATCTCCCCACAACAAAAGCCTTGCAGGCTTAGCTCTTCTCCAACATCTACAGCATGCAAGTGGTGGTTGGTGCATTGAAAATCATAGTCCGTGCATGCCATGTATGTCGGTTTTGTTAATCCCGAGCAACGTTTTACCTTGCTTTAACTTGGGTTGACCCTGAGTTCTTGCCCAGAAAAGGTGAGCCTAATATCAGAGACTACAGCAGGCGATGCCCAAAACCGTCGACGAAATTTGCAAAAGAATTGCAAAGGAATCTGCCCTTACCCGCTAGCAAACCGTAGCAATTTACTCATGTGGTCAGCCAGCAGTGGAGGATCTCCGAGTTCATGCTTCGAATCGACGCCATGTCGAACCAAAGCTGTGATTTTGCATCTGAGAGGGCCGCTCATCTCCATGTCCCTATTCTAATCGAAGACTGGCTCACCGCACATCTCAACTTAGGGCCTAGTTCGATTCATGGCGATCGTTACCGGCCCGATAACGGGAGATCTGCTAGCGACTATGTGACCTGAAAACCTCCTTCTAGGGGGATTCTATGCGCACGGGCTCAAGACAGGAGAGCTTCATGTGGGCTTTAATTCCGTGACAAAATGCGTGACGGCGTGTGGCACAGACCCGTCGGTACGTACAGCCTGGTGGTCATTAATCGCCAAACGAAATAGCTCTGTCAGTTGACGATAGCTGGACCCTGCGTGATAAACGGCGAGCATAATCTTGAGCTCAGCCTGACCCGCCTCCAGGTGTTCTAGCCCACTCGACCCGCGCGCTTGCTGACGACTAGGCAATAAGAATCCCCAGTTCAGGTGGTCTAGTGGTATTTTAGTAAGGCCAGCAGGGTACGTGGAGTTATTGCTACATATATGTTCTCTGGCTGGGTACCGAGATCCAGGTTTTTGATGGTAGGAGGGATCGCCAGGGTCCTCACGATAGACTCGTCTAGGTACGAGATATACTGCACGACAGCACAGTAGTACCCGGTCCAGACTAAGACAGGTGCAATACAACTTCATGTGTGTCAATGCTGCAGGTCCGCTCGTCTACGTCCATGCGAAGAATTCGACTCCAGCTCTTTGTTGTCCTCCAAAATAGATTCGTGAGCTGTAAACACAATCACCTTGCACCAAGAACAGCAGCTGAGCTGGTATCAGGGGTACCAGAATCAACAAGAACATACTGCTTGTGCCTGTACTGTGGAAGCCTTTGGCTTAGCGTGATAAAGTCGGTCAAGTCCTTTATTTAGAGCCAACAGATGGCGTTAACAATGACGTCTATTATGCCAGATGCGCACGTTTTCAATTTGTGCTAACGATTTGGTTGGTCCCATCCATCTGTCCAGCTGCTTGGACTAGGGAAAAGACGGGAATCAGTCAGCGGACCGCGTCTCAGCCGGCGCACCGTCGAACTCAATTGTTGGGCATCGTCAAATATCACATTGCGCCGTGTACCGGGCGGTGTAAAAACAGACGAATGTTATCGACGGTATGCGTCAGGCAAGAATGCAATATGTCTCTCCAGAGACAACTCAATGAAGTATTGCTACGTATCAGCAATACAGTCAGGTCTCCCACAGTTGTTTAGCTCAGACAGGCTAATCCAGAAAGGGAATGACAACGACATCCTAAATATGAATGGCGTCGCATACACTCGCAATGCTTTATCGAGATACTTGTTGACGCGGATACCGAAACTGTTAGTTTGCAATTAAACGCTTGACGATCTCCTGAGGGCTGGCCGAGACATGCTGCGTGTATAGATTAAATTGGCGACGAAACTGTGGTGGCTTCAAACGAATCGCCAAACGATACGTGGAATAGTAACAACAAGCGACGCAAAGGCTTACTCATTTAGGTAAGCCGAGTCATGTACACTCACGCAAGAAAGGGTCAAGGCGCTTCCAATCGACCGAAGAAGGATCAACAAAGTGCTCAACTGATCGAAGCATCGCCCAAACATACTCTAGAAGTTTAGGAAACGCAAGTCAGAGGACAGCACGAGCACTAGGAGTTTCAACAAACTGAAGGCGGGCGCAGGTTGAGTAAAAACTCATCTCACCCATAATATATTCAGGGGCTTGGCTAATTCCTGTACCGTCTAATAAACACAAGCCGATATTATCAGTGACTTGACATGTCAGCTTTCACTAGCTGCAAAAGAATCATCGTTTCCGTATGTCCCGCTGCTTTCGAATTGATACCTGATAATTCGTCTTGCTCGAGGCTAAGCCTTACGTACGAGCTGGTGTTGGGGGCAAGGTTGGTGGCCAGATTTTACTCTCTCGAGTTGTCAAAAGCCATCGATGATAGCCTTTCGAATATAGGACAGTCGTGATAAGCTAGATTCATGAGAGTGATCGCGGCCGACTATGGTAACAACGTTCTAGCAAATACGTATGTCGAACAGGGGTCAAGGTGAATCCATTCCTGATGATCGACCAACCTAGACAGGCATTGTCTCAGAGGAAGCATGCTTTGGTCACCAAAAGGTCCGTGAGCAGGCGGCTGGCTGCGGAGGATGTGAGCTGGGCTGGCCATATCCCTACCCGTTCGGCTACAGAGCACGTACCACAACATAGAGAGGCACAGTCCCTTCGCAAAAAAGCAAAACAGATTGCAAAGGCTGTCGAATATGGCATCAATATATCCGTAGAATAGTCCAGATTTTCCTCATTGATAGAGTCAGTGGTTTTTTGTGTGTAATTTGTGATCGAACTTACCGCCAACTCTGTTTCGAGCTCAACCCGTCAATAGAGTACTATAGCTGCCCAAGCATTGCCTTTCTGTCCCAGAGCTCAGAATACCTACCTATTCAATTGATTCTAGGCCGTCGATTTCCAGCATCCAGAATGGCGCACGCGCTAGCAGCGCATTGCAGTAGTTCAATGCATCTATGATACTGGGTGATGCCAACATGGAAATACCATGTCAATCAGCTTGCTCCGGATGGGAAAGGAGCTTTGGAGGTTCGCCAGGTGCGGACATACCATTCACAGTAGTGTCTCCGCTACT